ACTCCTTCATCTCCGCTCAGATTCCTGACAGGAACATCCATCCTCAGCTCTATCAGGTTGTGGAAAAATACATGCTGCATGGCCCTTGCAGTCCGCAGCGTTGCATAGAGAATTTGCAGTGCAAAAAGCACTTTCCAAAAAGATTCTGTCCCCAGACCCTGATGAAGGATGATGGCTATCCCAAGTATGCGAGACCTGACAATGGTCGCACCATCCAAAAGAACGACATCATCTTCACCAACAAGGATGTTGTTCTACATCCCCCCAAACTGCTGGTGGAATTCAACTGCCACATCAATCTTGAGGTCTGTGCCTCTATCAAATCTGTCAAATACATCCACAAATACATTTATAAGGGAAACAACCGCGCTACGTTGGAGATGAGAGGAGCAGTGGATGAGGTCAAATCATATCTGGACTTGAGATATATCAGCTCTACCGAGGCTGCATGGCACATCTTCAAATTTTCGATGCATCTTGAATGGCCCTCTGTCTACCGTTTGCCCGTCCATCTTAAAAATGAACAGATGGTGTTCTATGACCCTGAGGATGATGCTGAGGAAGTCCTTGAGCATGCAGAAGTGAAAGATACTTGCCTCACTGGATGGTTCAAAGCCAATGCCAATGAGAACTTGGTGGCAGCTGGAGCCCACGACAGCCTCTATCAGGATTTCCCCTCAAAATTCATTTGGAGCAAAGATGCATGGAAGATACGGGAGCGAGGAATGGCAATTGGAAGAATGTACGCTGCTGCACCCAGCTCCGGAGAGCGCTTCTATCGGAGATTGCTTTTGACTGTAGTGAAAGGTATTGTTACAATAACATTTAACTCCTATTTCATTTTTCTTTTTCGTGTAATCATGCCGCCGACTCTAGACTCATCTAGACTCGGCTATTCTCTTATCAAGCGGGCCGTCCGCATTTCTCTTCTATCTTGATTGTAACATAGATACTATCTTGCGCCGCATAACGGTTTCACCTATCTTTGCTATCTTGATAGGTTGTATTCTTTTCCTATCTCTGTTACCTTTCTTGTCGCGGCAACTCCGCTCCATTCTTACCTATATAAACCCCATGTACTATAGATGTATTCTTTAACTTAATCTACTGGGTTCTCCCCTTGAAACCTGATCTACTAAGGCCTCCACCCTTAGTAGCCTGAACTCTGATTCTAAGACAGTCACTCACTGTCTTAGCCTGAAACCCTTGATTGCGGTAGAAGTGCTAAAACCACTCACCGCCTAGGCAGAAGTGCTAAAACCACTCGCCGCCGATCCTGCATAGAAGCCGCGGCTCGTGCAGTAGGAACCCCCAGAAATCTTCCTTGTATTAGGAAGGCCGACGAACTGTTCGCCCGACAGGTCTATCTTGACCGGCAACAGCAGAACTATCCCAGTCGTAACAGGTATGATGTCTAAGACAATTTTTATCAATCAAGCTCACCATAATTTCAAGGGGCTACCTCCTTTGAACACCTTCGGACACATGATGGGACTCTCTATGAGACTTTCAAGGAAGTGTGTCGGCACAGGGGTCTGCTTGATGACGATTACGAATGGATCCAGTGCTTGCGGGATGCCTCTCATATGTACACAGGAAATTGCATGCGCAATCTCTTTGCCATCATCCTGCTGCACTGCAACCCTACCAGCCCTGATGATCTTTGGAACTGCTTCAAGGAAAATCTCTGCGATGATCTGCATCACCGCCTCACTCATACACCGTTCAACATGCCTGACCCCATGGAGGAACAGGTACACGACTATGGTCTTCATCTCATTGATGGCATGCTCCGCAAAAATGGCAAGTCTTTGGAAGCAATTCCTCAAATGCCAGTAGCTCGAATGGCAGAAAGATGGGGGGCCATGGAGGGCAACCAGCTCATCGCTGAGCAGCGTCAGTATGACCCACAGGAGCTTCAGCAGATAGTGGATGAAGGAGTCCCTTTGCTTAATGTCGAGCAGAGGGTGGTCTATAATGCTGTGGTCGAGGATGCAATGAATCGTAATCAGCAAAGACCCGGACATGCATACTTTGTCCATAGTGCAGGGGGATGCAGCAAGACGTATCTCTGCAAACTCATCGCTTCAAAACTCCGTGCTGAAGGAAAGATTGTCCTCTGTGTGGCCTCCTCTGGAATTGCTTCCCTCCTCCTACCAGGCAGATGTACAGCTCATTTGCGATTCAAAATCCCCATTCCCATTAATGAGGACAGCTCATGCAACATCAAAAAAGGAGATGTCATCCATGAGCTTCTCAAGGAGACCTCCCTCATCATCTGCAATGAAATTCCGATGCTCCATCGTCATATTCTGGAGTGCCTTGACCGCACGTTGCATGATCTTCTAAACAAAGAGGCTGATTTTGGGGAAATAACTGTGCTCTTTGGCGGGGACTTTAGACAGACCCTGCTGGTGGTGACCCATGGATCCAGGGAGCAGATAGTGAGCACTACCCTTTGCAGATCTCAACTCTGGCGAAAGCTTCATATCTTCCACCTCGAGAGAAATATGCGGCTTGGTCAAGACCCTGCCTCTGATGACGTTGCAAGGTGGCTCCTTGAGATTGGAGCTGGCAAGGGCACAAATGAAGATGGAACTGTGACCCTCCCTATTCATATGCGCTGCCCCAACAATGATGTCCAGTCTCTCATCAATGCCCTATACTCTCCAGTTCTGCTCCCTGGGCAGCCTGCAGTGGATGATTCCTTCTTCCTGGAATGCACCATCCTCTCTGCAAAGAACACTGATGTGGATGAGATCACCACCATTCTTGAATCATTCCCTGGAGATAAAGCAGTCTTCACCAGTGCAGACTCGGTCAGCGAGAGGGAATACGATTACATCCCCCAGAGTTCCTTCATACCCTCACCCCATCAGGCTTCCCTTTGCACAAATTGGAGGTCAAAAAAGGTGTTCCCCTGATGCTGTTGCGCAACTTGAACCCCTCCGAGGGCCTCTATAATGGAACTTGCATGATCCTGCTGTCTTGGACCGTTCGCATCCTCAAGTGTTGCATTCTTAGAGATGGAGTCAATGAAGCTCGCCAAGATGATCGGGACACAGTCCTAATCCCTCGCATGACCCTGGATGCCACATCTGAAGATAACCCCATTCCTCTCAAGTGTCGCCAATTCCCCGTTCGTGTCGCATTTGCTATGACCATCAACAAGGCACAAGGTCAAAGTGTCAAGTGGGTTGGGCTTAATTTGCGGACTCCTGTGTTCAGCCATGGGACAGCTCTATGTTGCATTATCTCGCTGCACTCACCCAGATAGAGTGTTTGCTATCTTTCCTGAGAATGAAGAGGGCTCAAAGACGACGAATGTAGTGTATACAGAAGTGCTTAGAAGAATTATGATTCCTGTTGGATGATTGATGTACATATGATGTACTTCTATATAGAGAACCGACTCGGATGTGATGTATCATGTAGTTTTAGTTGTGTCGAAATGCTGCTCAAAAATGTAATTGTCTTCAAAATCCACTATGATCATTAGTAAGGCAAAGTGCCGCAGGCACCTCGCAAAGGAGCGTGAAGCGTTCCTTTGCCTTGCTGTGCCTTGGGCACAGCAAGTATTCAAGGTCAAGACTTAAGACACCCAAAGTAGGATGAAGCCGAAGGCCAAGAAGCAAAAAAAGAGTGCGAAGCACTCTTTTTTTGCTTCCTGTGCCGAAGGCACAACGGGTGTGTGCTAGTTATGCAATAGAAGCTCAGGCCCAACTCAGGCCGCAGCGCCAGCTTACAAGGATGCCAGCAGACATGTAATCACATCCAGCGCTTCACATACCATTGGCATAGTTTCTAACTTTGCAATGCCAGGTTCAAAGTTTCTACCGATATCCACGAACAGGCTATAAATGCAAAGCAACAGTCAGGCGACCGTGAGAAAGGCCTGGTAATCTGAGGCGCCGCTGCACTTTGATATGTATTTCAAGTTAGTACCTCGAGAATTTCAACTTCAACAGGACTGCTGCCAACGCTGACAGCCATATATCGATGCAGAATGCCGATACCACGAAGTAAAGCAACTCAAAACGACATCTTCCCGACGTGTTTCCTATTCGCTTGCTGGACGCCAAAGAATGAAATGTAGCCAATTTCATACGCTGATGGCACAAACTTGTACGTTTCTCCGATCGAAGGTGTAACCCTACTTCTATGAAGTAAACATATGTAAGTATACTGACGAAATTGTCAGCGAACAGGTGTTTTTACCCGGCAATTTCTAGATCAAATTTCTAGCTCGTCAATTTGAACCAGAAGACGTAGTGGATTCCATCATTCAGAGTGCAGATAGCATGAAATATAAAATGAACGCGGTCGTATCCCATAATCCTCAGGACAAGCGCCTTGAAACTTTCAGTGAGTGGCCCTGCGTACAGTAACGCTGTATCTGTTTCACTGAAACCACACTTTGCATCAGTCCCTTCGCGTACTCAACTGCACAACCAGACTCCTGTTAGTGTATGGTTTGCTATTAGCACTAACGGTCATCACTAAATCACTGACAGTCATACCAGACGCCATGAAGCCTATTCGATCCGCCATCCTCGCCATTCTTGTCGCTGTCGTCGGGGTGAAGGCAGCTTCTACTACTAGTAGCGGTGAAACCTGCGATTCGGAATGCTACGCTAGGATGCCTGACTGTGGGGAGGACTCGATAGCTGTCGAAACTAGCTCAGATTGCTGGACCTGCTGCGAGGTGCCTGATACTTCGGCTAAATCTGTACAGAACTAGTCACCTACGATTCCGAAGAGCAAGGACTTGCTTGAACAAGCTGTAGTCGTCGTCAGACGCTTTTTAGGCACCGTCAACCGCATCTTGATTAATGACATTGATGAGTTCCGAGTTGAAGTGGCGCAGTGGGTTCCAACAGAGTTGGATATACATATTCCACATCTTTGATATTTTTTTCTATAAACTGCAGAACATACAAGTCTGGTTTTCATTCACTGCGGGAGGGCACGAATTAGTTGATGATGAGCTCAGGATGCGTGTTAATGATAGATAATACTCTGAGACATGAGCCGAATAAGAAGCATGCAGCATACCGTCATTTGAGAACTTGCGAAGGATGAAAAATCTCCTAGACCCAGAGACAAGAGGCTTCCTAACTAGTCTCTAAGAACTGTCATTTGTTACAGATGCCAGTAACCTAAATGAAACTAAAGGTAAGTGTCTTTATCTATGGCGTATCTCTAAAGCCCATCAGGTACTGCATAATCTGGAAGGCAGCCTGAATTGTCGGTCTCTGCGTTAGAGCGCGTTTGGGTTAATAAATCGTCGACTTACTACTGGTGCAAATTGCGGAACCCTGCAGAATACATTTGATAAGCGGGATGCTGTACTATGTAGCGAAGAAGGCTCACATGTGTCCACTCAGGACTACTTCGTAATAAGTGAGTCCCCGCTCTGAGTGCATCGTCCCGAAGGCACCCACACCATCGACAATGAAACTGTCATCAGCGATGGGCGTCTGGAATCCTTGCAATCCGTTCCCTGTGAATAAAATGAGTGATTTTTGCACCTCAACGCTTCTCCTCACTCACAAGTCATACTGCAAATAATCCCTATTGATTGAAGGAGTTTGGGTAATAGTCAAGAATGCACGTACTTTTGAATGACGATTCTGGTTCTAAGTCATAGAATCATGTGTTAGGATATAGGAAAAGACCTCGTGGACGTAGGCATACCCATCAGAAATGAGAACAAAGTCAGCGAGACCGTGCACGATGACGGTCCGCTTGTTCTTTTCGATAACATTTGGTAACACGGTGAAGGCAGGGGGCAAGCTACCATCTCCATTTGGGAAGACATTGATGTTGGAACACTCCGTCCATTCTGTGTCATCAGGCGCATGGATGGCCTGCTTCACATCCTGTCGGTCAAAGTAGAGCGGAGTTTGTGACTGTATGATTGAACCTCTGTGTCTGCGTAAATAAAATGTTAAGTACATTCTTGAATCACTTACGGGGCGCCGAGGACATCCCATAGGACAGGATACTAGAATGGAAAACGTTAGCAACTAATGAGCAGGATCCTCCTCGACTCACAGTGTCCCAGATGCGATATATATTGAAAGCAGGGTTGATAATCAGCGCATTATTGAAAATGTCGTCCCAAACATCACAGCCATCAGCCGCCTCAACCGAGTCCCCTGGCAGAGGAAGAAGGCCGGCTGGAGGGTATGTCACGTACTTATCCATGTAGCCAGTGTAATTACATTCCGCAGCCTTCCTTTCGAGGTGATTCGCAAACGTTTTACTGGACCCGATTGGTGAGCAACCTGAAAACATAGCCGAAGCAAAGTAAACTGACTTAAAAGAGAAGAGACCAGCATATTTGTTCACGAAATCCACTGCAGGGATCTGCTCTTGCACCACATCCCATGAAAGTGAGGCTATTCTCGGTGGATAAGCCCTTGAGATGACAGAACGATTAAGGATGCTACTTACGATCACTGATCCACATGCCTTGCAACGAAAGGTCTAGTAGAGTAGGGTTCTCGTAGATGTAGTTCGCAATATCTTCGATCGTCATTCATATGTGCTCTTAGGAAAATAACCACACACTGACAAGGGACATATGTTCCTGCGTACTGGTCACAATCAGTATAATATCTGGACAGTCTTCCGAAAAAAACTTACGCTTTCACCCGTCAGATACAACTGCTTGCCTTTCAGTTCCGAAAAGACTTCTAGGAACTGCTGCATGAAACCGACGAGCTGGGCAGCAACGTCTTCCTCATTCTGTGCATTTGGAACGCCTTGAGAAAACCCCGTTCCAACAGGTTGCTCAACCCAAAGGACAGAAGAGAGGTTAGTCCAGCTGTATTCATTCACCGTCGGTTTAGCTTGACCCAAGGACCAACTGAAAGGCTTCATACTTCTCAGTGAAATGAGTCGTAGGATACAAGGAAAGAGGCTTACTCCATTCTCCTGCAACAAACCTTCGAGTGAGGAGCATCCAGGGCCTCCATTTGTCCTGAAGGAAAAGCAAGTTACATCAGCGGTAGATTAACACCGACCACTCCCAATCGCACCAAAAAATCAAATCATCGAGACTCCCTTCGGGACCAGGAGGGAAAAACCAGAAAAATAACTGTCGTTTGAATCAGCAGATAACATGCACGAGTCATTATTGACATACCTGACGCGTCTCATCAGGATTGTCGCTTATGGGCAACAGACCTGCCCAGCTAGGACCGACATCGAAGTCGACTGAAGGGATGGATGTACCATCAACATAAAATTCTACACGAACATATCAGACACTGGCGTTTGCTGTAGGAGCACTTTATCCACCTGACGCCTTGGGGTTTGTGAAGGTGATGTTTTGAACTCCCTTGCGCTCGCCGACCCCAGCTCCTCCCATCTCTGGGATGGTCCAGCTGGTTTGCCAATTCTGAGCTGCCTCAAACTGGCGCTCCTTCAGCACATGCTTGGTCACGATACGAGCGCTAGCGGCAGTCACTGCTAGCAGAGCGACAGAAAAACGCAACATTTTCGAGTAAGCCTCGAGTAAGCCTAGTAGCCAGGTGTGACAGAGAAGCACAGCGAAGTCGCCCAGTTTGATGTATTATGAGACTTTTTATAGTGGAATTAATTGTCAAATCCGTGTACGTTTTCTGTGACATTTTCGTACAAGCATGGGAGGCTCCCGCGGACGATGAGCGGACGTGACCCAATGAACGACCTGTTCAAGGGCTAGCTCATGTCTGAAAGACGATCGAGTTGCTGTTGGCGACTAGTACTTTCCTGTAGTACAACTTGCAATGCATGAATCGGATATCTGAGGTCATCGTGGTAGTCAAGCACCCAGGCTCTAGTGATATATATAGAGGATATATAGATAGATCTCCCAGTGTAGAAGTAAGTACTGATCTTCGCCTATATCCGAGTCATACAAGCGCTCATTGAACTGCCTTTCATGCTAAATGTCAAAGGCTCTCATAACAATTGCGGACTCCTATTAGTAGCACGAGACGACGACCAAATCTAACTTTACCATGATTTGCCCGACCGCGACGATATTTCACAACAAAAGAGTCTTGGGCGAAAAAAAAAATACTCGAGCGATGAGGAATCCGTCGCGCCAAGGAAGAAACTAGCCCCTGCGAAGTCTGCACAGAAAGCAGTCGTGTCATAATACAATGCCAGAAATCAAAAGCTTGCATGTCGATCGTGGTCATGATTGCGGCTGAACAACAGATCGAGGAGTACGTACAACTTCAATGTCTGTCTCTGCTGTATTACAGACATTCCACTTTGTAAATTCGCTTGCGACTCGGTCTTGTCCTGCAGTGTCGATTCTCGAACCGTACGTCCAGGATGGAGTAGGTAGAGTGGGTGGTAGATCGAATGGACTCAAGACAGGCAGTATGAATGTTCGAGAGGATGCAAGAAGGTGACGGGCAGTGCTAGAGAATGCGGGAGGGTGTGGGCAGCTTTGCTCTATTATAGTTGTCAATAGAAAGAAGAAAAGAAAGCAATGAAAAAATTACGAGCCAGGAAGAGAGTATGAGAGGTCTTGCAACAAACACGACGAGCGCAACGAGCATCGACATGCTGCGATCGCTGTACACCATGGATTTGAAGGGAACAGTCTTTTTGCTTGATATCGGTGCGTATACATTCATCTTGCTCGGTGCAAGATCAAAAACGGATTTAATGGGTGTCGTTTCACAGCTTTGCGGCGTTTTGAGTGCCTTCAACCATCTAGGCACCTTTTCCTGCCTCCACACATTCGAGTTCTCAGAGCTTGTCAGGGACACTGGTCAAAAGAGAACCGACTGTGCATCTCTGTTTGTGCTTCACCGAGTGATCTTATCCGTGCTAAGTACTCGATCTTTTGAGAAAATAGTACATGTCACATTTTGTTTGTATTGGGAGCAAAAATGACCAAGATGTTCAAGTAGGACAACACGACCAACAACCAGGGTGCACCAGCTTAACGAACCACCCTGGGCCGCATGACAAACCGTCTCGAAAGGAGTCACATAATTTGTCGCAGACTGGAAACTTGGGAGAAACTACTGCTGCGTCCACCCCAGTGGCAGTGGCAGTGCAGCAGCAGCACCGGAAGCAGCAAGGATCACGAAAATTTCAACGAGTTTCATGGTATCTGGTATAACTATGCATCAGCCTATGATGTGACCGTGCTAGGAAAATCACAAACCGATGGAAATTTTGATTGTATGATGTGCGCAAATTTGCTATTACAAAGTATCAGAAGAGCTATTATATGTCCCGTTCAGTGAAATGCACATAGTGTACCACAAGAGAACTGCTCACCGCGAGAGGAGACGGTCATCTGTGACCTTTTCAACTCAACTGCGTTAATTTTATACCTGTTCTGGTTAGTGCGGCTGGGACTATATGGGGAGAAAGTTTTATAACAAGGCGCACCAAGTTAGTGATAGCCAGTGGGCCGCAGAGATCGCAGGAAGGATAATCATTGAGGCAAATGAACGAACAGTTTTTCTTGATTCGATGTCGGCCTGCTGCCGCTGAGCCTTCTTGGATCTAGGCCGTTTCTGAGCGGAGCGCAGGGATGGTGATCTAGAGACAGCTGGGAGTTGTCAACCACATGGGTCAGAAGAAAAATGAAAATAAGGGAAGGAGTATAATTATTCTCCAGACTCGCAGAGATGTACCTCAGATCCAATAACATTAGTATGATTTACATTCAATGGAACGTAAAAACTTGAGAGAAACATCGCTGATGCAGAACAGCCCACTCAAGGCCTTTGCCATAACAATCATCTCCATTGTAGGCCATGCAGACATCGCAGTGCACATTCTCTAATCTTGGCACAAGAAAATCTGCATGATGGTGTACCGAGGAGACGGTCATCTGTGACCTTTTCAACTCAACTGCGTTGATTTTATACCTGTTCTGGTTAGTGCGGCTGGGACTATATGGGGAGAAAGTTTTATAGTGAGAAAACACGCGTCCCTGACCCTGTCTGTACTGGGAGCAAAAAGATGTTTGACTACTTTGATTGACAGCACACCCAGCGACTAGCGTACAACAGGTAAGGCCACCACCCTGGACTGCAATTGAGAGAAAGCGCATTCGGGCGCTTCGCAATTTGCATTAGGAGGCGCTGCTGTGTCCACCCCCGTGGCAGCGGCAGCACCGGAAGTAGCAAGGACCACGAGGTAAACGATTTTAACGAGTTTCATGGTATCTGATATGACTAATCATCAATTTATGATGCGACCATGCTAGACACCGACGGAAAGTTTGGTTGTGTGATGTGCGCAAATTTGCTATTACAAAGTATTAGAAGAGCCATCATATGTTCGTTTAATGAAATGCACATAGTGTACCACAAAAAGACTGCTCACCGCAAAAGGAGCCGTTCGTCTGAGACATTTTCGACACAACTGCATTGAATCTATACTTGTTCTCGTTTCTCGTTGGCGGCGCCTTAGTACGGCTGGAACTACACCGGGAGAAAGTTTTATAGCAAGGCGCACCAAGTTAATGATAGCCAGTGGGCCGCAGAGATCGCAGGAAGGATAATCGTTGAGGCAAATGAACGAACAGTCTTTCTTGATTCAATATCGGCCGCTGCCGCTGAGCTTTCTTGGATCTAGGCCGTTTCTGAGCGGAGCGCAGGGATGGTGATCTAGAGACAGCTCGGAGTTGTCAACCACATGGGTCAGAAGAAAAATGAAAATAAGGGAAGGAGTGTAATTATTCTCCAGACTCGCAGAGATGTACCGTGTGCTATGAGAGCTGTGGAGGCTGCAAAGTTCACTCGTGGCTCAAAAGAGGTCGGCATGATTAACAGTGCTGGAGGGAATCGCTTTTGATTTTGATGAGTCGGGTCATGTCAAACAACAGAGACGAGGTTGATGGAATGAGTCATTATTCATTACTAGGGATTTCGTAACTTGTCATGGCCCACCCGGCAATTTTCAACCAGTTTTGTTCTGCCTTAAGGAGTTTTGCACCCTACACTACCTCAGAGTTCAACGCAACGTGTTCAATTGTATATCTTTGGTGAGCGTAAAATTTTCCTGCATTTTCTGAACGCTACTAGACTCGAACAGATCATAAGCGGCCGTCCAGTCAGAATCATGAATTATTTGGTGAGCGTTTTGACAAATCATCTGATGGCCCGGATCTGATTGAGCCTGACGGAGAATCATGATTAATCGAATGTAGACGTGCATGAGGAGAGGAGTGATTGCGTGAGTAGCGACCGTGTTTACGAGAGTAACTTGAAGAGTCATATTGAGTGGCTCGAAGCGTCGTTAATCGGTAAGTTCAATGTTTTGTAAGGATATACTGTCATGCACAGCTCAGCCGCAAGGGTCATTATCGCAGCGTCTGGCCCCGTCCCATGTTATAAGGGACCTGCTGATCCAATCCTCGAAATTCAAACCAACTAATCCTTTTGCCAGTGTCTCGAGCGCTATATATGCATTTTGTTCATCCTCCCATGCTGATCGTAAGTGACCTGCTCATCGCACATGTTTGTTTTCCAGCTCAGCTGACTTTTTGCCACCAGGTTGGTGCTGGGTCAGTGGGTCTGGTAGCAGCGTTGACGCTCCTCCAAAAAGATATCTCAGTTCGGATCATCGATAAAGATCTCCACCCTCGCATCGGACAGCGTGGTTCCAGAATATGGGTTTGTCGCACATCCACTTGTTAGGCCATCCCGTGATCTCATAACTATATGCTCTATGTAGCCCCGCTCCCTCGAACTCTACAACTTCCTGGATGTTTCAGATGTCAATAATCTGGGGATAGCAGCCCCTCTCCGTTCATACAAGCCCGGGACGTTGGAACCTGTGAAAGACTCATCGATGGTCCTGCATATATAAATTACCCCAGCAATACCATTTGTGCGCAACACTATTGTATAATCAAACCTTTATGTCGCATGTTCCCAGAACGACGGGTCGACAACGTTACAACTCCTAGATGTAATTCTGCGACGCCACCTACAGAAGTTCTCTTGTATATATATAGATCTTCCCGTGTAGTGGTACTATATCCGAGTCAAGCGGTGCCTTTCATGCTAAACGTCAAAGGTTTTAAGTAGCACGAGACAATGACCAAATTTAACTGCACAATGATATGCCCGACAGCGACGATATTCCACAACAAAAGAGTCTTGAGCGAAAAGAAATGAGGAATCCGCCACGCCAAGGAAGACACTAGCCCTTGCGAAGTCTGCACAGGAAGCAGTCGCGTCAGAATACAATGCCAGAAATCAAAAGCTTGTATGTAGATCATGGTCACGATTGCGGCTGCTTTAAATACCAACAGTTGTTGTGGCATTCACATTCACAGCCTCGGATTCTGCTCTGAACTTGTGTCGCTTTTGTTTTACTATAGGATCAAAAGGATTCCTGGCCAAGCGGGAGTGCTGCAGAATCACTGAATTTGCAATATGATTATGAAGAAAATACAGGAAAAGCGACGATTACGAAAACCACAGGTTAAATTTTTAAGCAGGTTCGGAATAAAACTAATAACGGCGACCGCCACGAGTCCCTCCCCCGGGTCCTTGATATGGTCCATAATCCGGAGGTGGACGACCACCACCTGTACATAAATTAGTAGATATAACCACTAGAATTAATGAGTACACGTACTAGTACGGGCAGGAGGAGGAACAGGCGGAAGCGGCGTAGGTGGTGGGGTTGCACGTCTGGTAGCACTAGGAATCACAGCATTGCGTAACAACATCATCAGGTCATCAGTTCGGAACACGGGGCCTAGAATAAATTTCGCATCAAGGATTCCTCAGGATTTAGAAAATAGTGACGGACCATCAAAAGAAGCTGGGTTAGGTAGCTGTCCAACAAACCACGAAATAACAGTGGGCAAAGTAGACGCCTTGTCATCATCCTTCTTAACATGCTGCAGTTCTCTGTCTCGTTCTCTTTCCCAGCCTGCGGGGCTTCCAAATCGCCTTCTAGGGGGACCCTCCCACCTCTCTCGGTCACGGTCGCGAGGCGGGGGAGATGATGGCCTCTGCCGCTTACTAGGGGGGCCAAAGTCAGGTCTTGCAGATCCCTCGCGTCTCTTGTAATCCGGAGATGAGGTTCTCTTTACGGGCGGCTGACTGGCTGGCATATGCGAAGCTGAAGTCAAGGAGAACAAAGAGTCTGTTCGCTTTTCCATGAAATTTGAGGTGCTGGTTGAACCCAACGCGGCAGGCTGACGAGCTGCCATGGCAAACCCAAGATCCCGTGCTGCAATGGCATCAGTTCCCAGATATGTATGTCGTTGAGCAAACCGTTTGATGGGAGGATCTTGAGAGAACTGTGAGCTCCGCATCCTATATGAAGTATGTGTGCACGTACCCGAGGGATACACCTCAGCTATTCTCTTTTCAAGCTTCTGTGCTGCCTCAAGATCACCATACTGGTACTCATAACGAGCCCACCTTTCCCAAAGGGGACGAGCGCGTTCAGGCGGAAAAGCTGTGATAACCCGTTCAAAAAGAGCTCGAGCATCTGGGTGAAAAAATAGTGAGTGGGTGAACAGCACGCAAAGAAAATGGAACCCAACTGTTCTCGTCATTCACGGATATCAAAAATCCGAGATATCTCAGAACAAACTCAATCTCATCACCATAAGTTTCCAAACCTTTCTCAAATATACGTGATGCCACGCCAGTACCGCCATCTTTGTTGCAATGGTACTCCATTAAAGCTGAAGAGGGACCATCATCATCTGTGGCTCTAACTCTCGGGCTTTCAACATACCAGCGGCTTCATACACCTCCCACGGCGTCCATCGGTCACGCCTAGCTTTCGCAAAAACTGAACGGAAAGCCTTGAGGTCGAGAGCACGTCGTGCAAACCGAATGTACATGATCCAAACAACACCGTATTCTTGTCTTCGGTCGGAGAGCTCTTTGACTTTTGGAGGCTTCTCATCGGAAGCCTGAGTGGCAAAAGACGACGTATTGGAGATCGTTCCCGTTTCTAACGACCCTGAACCATTCCCAGCTGGAGCACCTGTAGGCACGACACGACCAGAGCCATCAGACGTAAAAGACGAGTTGGCGGAATTAACACGATTTTCGAGCTCATCCAACTCAGCACGCAAGACGTCAAGAAACTTGTCGAACGTCGCAGTAACCTCAGCGTGTTCCTTGCGGGACTCTTGCAGCTCACAGTATGCAAAGTGGAGGAGGAAACTGGTAGGATTGGCCTCCATGCCTGACTTGAGAATATTCAGCGCCTCTTCCGGCTTACCCATGCTGTTTGTCCACACGAAAGCCATATACCTGTACAGACCATGAGCTATCCATGATAGAGTTAAAATTAGAGACAAACCATATTTCCGCATAAAACCTCATTCGTATAGCAGCTTTGCGATACACGCCCTGTATACGTGAAATAAGAGTTGCTTTATCCTTGTCTTCAAACTCGAGTGGGTTACTCTCTTCCCACTTCAGGTAAGTTTTCCAAGCCCCGACAAGTGCCCTTTCAGCCGCATTGAACGTGGGAGTAGGAGGGAGGTATAGATGTGGCCGTGTCGATGAAGAAACCGGTGGCGGAGGGAACAGTGGTCCTAAATGTCGTTGGAGCTGACGAAGCACTGTACGAGCTTGCATGTATGATGGGGATAAATCTGACATGAACTTCTTGGCCTGCACCACCGTCAACATCACATCGCGTCACATTAGCAAAGTCAATCACCGTTATCTTGTTGAGGCTATTTTCGAAAGTCTCCAGTTCTGACCAGAGCCTCTCGACATTTTCAAGGGGGATTTGAACCGCACGATGGTAGACCTTCCGCAGGGCGTCCATCTTTTGCTGTTCCTCCCATGTTGTGGTTGTCTGTCACGGGCGTCAGTAGCGAGCTGAAAGTGGCAGGAGGATGACAAACCTCCCCTGCCTTAAGGAACTGGATATAATCACTCCAAATGTCCCCACTATCTTTGTCTTGGCCTATACGGCTCAAGGCAAACTCATACGCCTTGCTAACAGCTTCGCGACTGGCCGGTGAGGTATTAACTCGTCTGGGCAAGTAGTTCAATGCATCTGGAATATCGTGCACATATCACACTGACCTGACGTAGGTAAGATAGAACTTCCAGAGGTCAACTAGAGGAGAAGATCTTAGGAATCTTCTGAAAAGTTCTTCGGCGTAAGGAAAGAGTCCGGGGCTCAGAAAATGATTGAGATATGCAATTTGAGCGGACGACTTGGTATTTGTGATACATGTTAAGGAGTGCAGAGTGCAAGGCTGGAAGGTGCATACCGTATTGGGATAGACTTCAAGCAGAGCTTCATATGTCTGTTTTATTTGTTCAATTTCACCGCGCGCCTCGGCGAGGTCGACGAGTTTGTTCCAGCCGTCTGGATCATGAGGTTGCTCACGCAGCTTCTCGCGCAGAACATGCCATTCAGATGGAGCTTCTTGACTCGGAGTATCTTGCTTGACATTGCCTTGCCGAGCTGGAGATTGTTCGTGTCCGTTTTGAGCGGTTGTCTGGTTGAGAGCATTCAAAGCATTCAGAATTTCTTCGGTGGGCTGAGTCTTGTCTCCAATATACTCGGTGTCGTTCGTTGCGATTTCCGTTGGTGTTTCGATATTGACTATACTGTCCTGTTGTTCCTCAGACATGTCCGTCATAAAAACGGAAAAAAAAGAACGGTTTGGAGGAGAGTTCATCATACACAACAACCCCATTGCTATTTCCCACGCTCTTATTCAATCATCGACATCAACTAGTACCACTGCAAGTTTGAATTCGTGGACGTCATGCCTCTGCGAGGAACTGGACATGGAAAACTTGTTGGCGACGTGGCACCTTATTTCGAGTCTCTGGCCGAGCTTGATCAGTGGGCTAGTCTCCCTCACGAAAAGTTGATGGCTGTCTTGGAGTACCAGGCCCGTCCTCAGCTTGCAGAATCACTGAACCAGAAAGGGAAGCTTTTGGTGAAGAATCAAAACTCATGGTCTTCCACGATGCCCCACTAACCCGCCTATCAAAGGTGTGCCACGATTATAAAGTCAGTAGGTGACTCGGTTGATTTATGTCATATCAGTCATGGTAGCCGTAATGAAATGACTCAGTCTTCCATTCTACATAGGGAGGATACACAGAATCTCCTTCTGGCCTATGCTATACATTCAATTTTTGGCCTCTTTGTGACACATTCGTGTAGTACGTTAACCTAATCGACTATCTTATCACACCTCATCGCTTGTGGCAGCTTTTCGCATCACAGAGTTACTGTTCCTCCATCAGGATGGACCAGTGCTGCACATCGACAAGGGGTCAAGATGCTCGGAACAATGTGGGCTCCACAAAGCATTATTAGACAACCCTCACTCCACTCACCCCGTTCCAGAATATTTGAGGGATCTGGAGAAGCTGACTGCCTCCAGTTGATAGTTGGATCTCCTCAGGCGGGCGCAGGCCCAATTTTACGTACAGATTCGGTCCCCATATCAAGACACTATGCCTCAGTTTTGGCAGAGCTTGCTCGTCAGCGCGGGTTTGATGGGTATCTCCTGAATTTTGAATGTCCGCTTCGAGGGGGCCCGGAACAAGCGCGTGCGCTTGCCGGGTGGATTTTACTTTTGAGATCCGAGCTCGTAACCAAAGTTGGTCCCCATGCTCAAGCTATTTGGTGAGGCCAAGGCGGATCAAAAGTATGTGACAAATGTTCCTGACCCAATTCGAATCACAGGTACGATAGTGTGGTACTCAATGGCCAACTAAGATGGCAGGACCGACTGAACAGTCTGAATCTCCCATTTTTCCTCTCATCTGATGCATTCTTCACGAACTATACGGTAAGTGTGTGCGTGTTCACATTTGCCGCCCTTATCTCAAGCGTATTGCATAAGTGGCCGCCATCTTTTCCAGCTCTTACTGCCCAGTATTTTATGAGTTTGGATCCAGTACTCATCGGCGATGATGTGAAGGGGTCTTCTATCTCCTCCGTCAAGTCTCTTCAAAGCATCTTTACAGGTGTTGATGTCTGGGGCCGAGGATCTCACGGTGGAGGAGGATTCGGTTCCTACAAAGCCATGACACATATCGACCCCCAATCACTCGGCCTGAGTGTCGCCCTTTTCGGGCAAGCGTGGACATGGGAGAGCGAACAAGACAAGCCAGGATGGAACTGGGATCAATGGTGGGAATATGAGCGCAAATTATGGATTGGTCCTGTAGACCCTCAAGAGGTGGTCCCTGTGCCTGATGCTCCCAGACGTCCTGGAGAGCCTGGATGTCCTCACGATGCATTCGAGCCAGTATCGTCATTCTTTGTACATGCCGCCCCTCCTGATCCCACTCAGTTCGTCTTTTACACGTCATTCTCTCCAGGAGTCGGGCGTTCGTGGTTTGTCGAAGGCACCAATGTTCTTCAGACAAAGGATGGTTGGACTGATATCGACAAGCAATGTTCCCTTGGGAATTTAGTGTGGCCACGACCATCTGTGATATGGGAAAGCAATGATCGTCCAGAACCACTCCCTTTAGCGTCATCCATGTTGGACATGAACGACGCATGGAATGGAGGGAATACCCTTAAAATTTCCGTTGCCTGTGCTGGCAGTTCGGCAGATGATGCATTGTTCCGGTGTATCTGGCTCCCTGTGCAGTCGTTGAATGTGACTTCCCAAGTGTCATATGACGTTCACATCGTTTACAAAACTGTCGCTTGTGAGGCGACCGACCTTGACCTTGGACTTTTTGTGAAGCCGTTGATGGCGGCTGGCGAAGACCCCCCAGAGATCAATGTCGGGGCATCTACTCAATCTTATCTCAAGAACGGTTGGACCAGACAAGTCCTTAGCTTCTCGCTGCCTCCCGGCACAACCAATACGTTGATTGCCGTTGGCTTGATCATCGGTTTTATTGCCGAAGATCCATCTCAGCCACTTGATTTTTCAGTCTCATTGGGTCAACTTGCTGTATATCCATCATCTGCCGCCGCCAGCGTCTCGAAGGGAACCTCCGGGATTATGTGGGCTAAATTCCAAAGCACCAACCCCATCACCTCCCCTTCAAGTGATCTCAGCGGGCTTCTCACCTGGGACATCGCATCCTCTTTTCCACGTCTCACCTTACGGGCAATATCCTCACCAGAAGATCCAGATCCTGCATGGATTTTAGACGATACCAAAGAACGATTCCCATCATTTCTCTACTTCAATGTTTACGTCAACCCGCACCCCCTCTCAGGAAGTGTCGCCAGTGCCACAGCCGCGATATTCATTGGAACAACAGGCCTAGATGGGCGTGCCAATAGATTTTATGTGGATTCAACGATTCTGCCGAAGAACGTGATGGACGGGAGAGGGTTACGTTTCTATGTGCAAGGCGTTTCTGACAAAGGTGATGTCCTACCATGGGAGATGTGTGCGCACGTGGATTGCATGTTCGAGCTCAGAGGCTGTTGATGACTGGGACCATGCCAGACGCTGAGTACGTAAACACTGCTGTGAGAGTAACTTTTTTGTATCTATACGTCGCTTGTTATCAAAACAAGACGTTTTCAAACGAGGTAGTTTGGTGTGCAGCACGTCACACTAGTAGCTAGTAGAACTTGTATTGATTCGCATCATATCTATGATTCAGAGGGTCTATGAAGGGTCCGTCATAGTACAGCGATCGAAGTAACCCCAATATAGATCCCGCATGTACTTGAATACAAGGTATCTTTGTCCACCAGAATAAAAACACTGTAGCTTTCAGTACTCGCTGGGATTTAGCTCGTAGCCAGGGCTGTCAATACATCTCCGAGGGCGTTCCAATGGAGTGAACACGACAGAGGACTGAAAGAAGGGATGAGTGAAAGGTAATAAACTCCAAGGTAGTGGGTGGTATCATGGGAGTTAGCCTTATTGGGTATGTTATGACGCGAATCTGGCCTTTCAGCATGCTGAATTGAGTCCTCCCCGCATGTGCAACTGTGTCGTCTTTGCAATGAAAACAAATCAGCACCCCATGAAGAGCCGCTCATTATAAGTCCACGATAAATAAATCACATAAAGTTCTGAGCCTTCTTGCCTTTGACAGTAGTCGTCTTACCCTTCCGACTCTGGGTTCTGGGCTTACTAGCCTGGAACAGCTTATCAGCGGCGACCTCATCCTCATCCTTGACTTTCTTCTTCTCGTCATCGGACACATCAACAACTTCATCATCTAACTGGAAGAGATGTCAGTGCACGGCGACGATCATGCTTAGGGTACTCACATCAAAAACGTCCTCTAGATCAGGCGCGGGGCCTCCTGAGAGTTTCTTGGGTACTTTCCCGAGGTCTGTTGCTTTGTGAAAGGGTATTGGATGTTCCGTGCTGTTGTACCTGGACTTGCCATGAGCGACAATCAAACACAATAGTGATTAATGAGACTTACTTTTTGGTAAACGATGTCTTGGTCGCAGGTTTGATGAGCTTGTTAACAATGTCATCTTTCTGCGTGCCCACGCCGAGCTCAATGACAGTGTCCCAGTCTTCACGGGAAAGATAATACTCATCCATTCGTTCGATGACGTCATCGACAGCAGCCTATGAAGAACGCGATAAGCAGCGAGGAATAATAAGAGCAAGCGACAAGACTCACCGCGCCCTCATCGATCAGTGGCTTAACGATGTGAGGGTACAGTGCAGGGATGTACGACTGGCGGATTTCGTGCTTGTCCCCCGAGACTTTGAGTCGCATTCGGACCTGTACGTCTCCCAGTTGTCGATTAAGTTTGTTCTGTTTCGAATTTTGTCCTAGCCACCTGTGCGAGTTTCATATGGATGACGTGTGTAGTGATCCGGGAGAAACGTACTGAGGGAATGTCATTGGGTTTTGACCGCCATATCCGCCGCCTGGACCAAACAGAAATGAAGCGGGTCGCACCATCGAACACACCGCATGCAATGGCATCAATGACCAGTGTTGTTCTGGCCTGAAATACATTATAAGATCCAATAGAGAGAGTCATGCAGTCTGCTCACCCGTGAATCAGGGCATCGACAAGATCGGCATCAGATATAGAAGATGCGGCTTGATCCATCAACTCGAGTTGCTTCAACATCTTTGGAGGCCCTTCGAGATTCCGAACCTTGACAGGTTGAGTCTTCAGATAATTTTCCTGACGAGAGAGTAAGTACTTATGTGGCGTTTGGAAATAGTGTATTTCACCTGGATGAAAAGCGGGACGAAGGAATGGTCATGGAAGTATAATTCCATCTTGTCGCCCAGTGTCTCCCGAACATTCGGCCCAAACGCGTACGGGCCAAGAATTTTATTCGTCACGTCAAACGGCGTCAAAATGGTGTACTTTTCGTTGATCTTTGCACTACATTATAATATAATTAATGAATAGCAAACGACGAAGAGCACACGTACAGATTCTTCGCCTCATCAAAGTCCATGCTACTACTGGATAGTCGCCACGTCGACAACATATTCAAAACTTGTCGAATATCCGACTGAGAGCCGGTGATGAGCTGGTCGATGACGTTCGCAGGAATTTTCATCTTCTCCCTAGCCGACGATATCAGCATGTGTCAATGTAATTGAAGGGCAACTTACTTGTACGCGATCGTCATTATGCGTGATCGGACAGCTTGAGCCTCGGGCCTGTTACTACAGTGAGCTCCTGTTACACCTGAAGTCAAGTTCGACATACCGTCTAAATGGCATGCTAAAAGTATTTGCGACGAGTGGCTTCAGCTTCTGGGCGCCTCTATCGTTAGCGATGCAGATAATAGGTATCTGAATGATGAGATAAGACATTTGCTCGAGTGGACGGATCAACACATACTTTTGTCTTCTTGATCAAGGCGTTGAGAGCGCCAACGCCACCCCTGTCGCCAGCGGACATGCCGTCGACTTCATCCATGATGAGACATGTCTTGTTGGTGATTCTGACTCCTGCTGCGTTTGTCGCCTAGTGACGTGTTAAACCGACGTGACAAAGAGTACGGAATGAACAAACATCATTTCCACCCATCCATCCGTCTAATGACAAGTTGCTGATGTTCATACCGCTCTGGATATGTGTGAGCACAATGAAAGGGTAAGGCTGCACTCCCGACTTACCTCCACTAACTTTTTGCTGCGCGCGTCACTCGCATTAAGTTCGATGGGCGTGAAGCCTTCGAGCTTGGCGCAAAGATGTGCACTGGTAGTCTTACCTATGCCAGGCGGGCCAGTGATCATTACTGCGCGATAGACATTCATAGCGTTTTTCCCGGGCTTTTTAAAACCACACTTCAAACTACTTGACCTGCGAGGGAAATTATGCTTCATTTCATGGTCATCAACCTTTAGACTCACCAGTCGTGAAGCCATTGCTGTAATTTTTCGACCTGTCCTTTGTTACCGCAGATTTCCTTTAATGACTGAGGAGCGTATCTCGTTGTCCATAACTGGTTCGAGATGTCGGTTTTGGAGCTGTGGTAAGAATTAGCGGATTTTCTGAGTGAAAAAGAGTGTACACTGACCTGCCAGATTCACCGGCGTCCTTCGATGCTTGTTTCTCCCTCCGCTCGAGCTCCTTCGCAGCCTGTTTGATCGTTTCTTGTTCTTTTGCCATCTTCTTCTTGGTCTTTTGGTCTAACTCATCACCGCCTGGTCCACCTGGTCCTTCGCGAGTAGCAATTAGATGAAGGAACTCGTCCTCGGAGAGCGTCTTGAGCTGGTGCTTTTTGATCGCATTAAGCTTCGAAGGACCGGCATTGTCACCCAAGACGACAAACGATGTCTTTGATGAAGGCTGCCCTACGACGCGACTATGAAATGTAAAGTTTGGTAGATGATGTGTATATAAATATAACTCACCCCCCAAATCGCTTCGCCAAGTCTATTGCTTCATCCCTGGAAAAACTGCTGAGTTCGCCGGTAAAGACAAAGGCTAGTCCCTCGAGACAGTTGGACGACTTGGGCTCGGGGACCTGTTTCGAACCAGGGGCGGATGGTCCAGCTAACTTTGCGGCTTTTGCAGCGGCCCAACTAGGTTGCGTAGTTCAGAGAAAGGAACACCAACATGGAAAGTCAGCGTACTTGAAAGTTTTGGCGGCCGGTTCCGCGTTCTCTCCCCTGTCCTTTCCTTTGGCTGGTATCTTCGAGGTCGACGCTGACGGGACTGCCTTCGGTACAGACTTCGCGATAGCGGCTAGTTTCTTCTTTGGAGGCGGACGCGAGTCAGATTCGTCCTCATCGCTTGAGATGATGACAGTTTGTTTTCGCTTTTTCTGTGAGGTGTTACGGGACATTGGTGGGCGCCTTGTGCTAGGAGTGTGGTGCGCGTGTAACTCAGACTCACGTCGCGTCACATTCTGTCACACGTAATGATACGTCCTGTCACGACGCGTTGGTATTCCTCGGTCGAAATTCTGTATACTTGAGTCCCATTAGGCGCGACGATCACAGCGACACGCAGCATCACCCACACGTGGCGCAGTGATGTTTTGGGGTCGTTTTCAGCCCAGCACAAGTAAGCCGTACGGCGTATACTGTGCCTTTGATGTTAAAGAGTCAAAAGTTTTTGTGACGCTGAGATACTAAGGAACAATTCAGTGTTTGGACGAGGGGATGCTTCGTGTTTGTACTGCAGTGAATATATCCGCATTACTTCTAGGCTGTCCGAATTGACAAAAAGTGCACCCTTGGCAGCACTTTGAAGAGTTCAAGTATCACTGATCACGTGCCCGACCCTCAAATAGGGGTAAGGAAGTTTGGGACCCAAGTCAGTCGAGGCCAAAAAATTCCACGTAAGAGGAGATGTCAATATTGCAAACGCTACAAGTACTAACAATGATAAGATACATAAAATTGCGAAATAAAAACAATAATCTACCACATCAAATCGATAAGTCAACACTCAAGGCGAGTCGGGATCATCACCCCCAGCAGCAAAGTCATCCAAAAATTCCTTAAGTGTGTCTTGTATCTCTTTTACGAGCTCATCACGATCCCAGTCAGCACGGTGTCTCCATATGCACCCAAGCACGGCTGCACGAAGCTGTTCGAGAAGCTCGACGGAGAGCTGCGCGGTTCTGGAACATAGATCATGCTGAAGAGTCGAAAGTAGATGTTCATCAACGTGGAAGTCCGGTAAAGGAGTAGGGGTTCTTTCTATTTCAACTGAGGGTACAACCACCATGGGTTGCTCTTGTATAATATCAACGGCGGGGGTTAATGACCGAGTGACTAGTGGAGAGGGTGTGCGGGGAGACGGCATTAATGGATTTAGAAGCGCAACTCCGATCGCTGGGGACAACGAAGGAAGAGGTGGGGTAAATCCATCTTGCGCGGGCACTGTCGACGGTCCTGCACCATTCAGGAGGTGTGATATGGAGGTTGCTGGGAACCCGCCGTCAGGAGACATCGGATTTAAGAGCATAGGGTCAAAACCAGGAGGTTTCCGCGGGGAAGGAGAGTCGACAGCCATTGCACTTGAATCTGACAAACCATTGACAGCAATAGGTGCACCATAAACGGGCAACACATCACTTTCGGGAAGTGGTTGAACGTCATTTGCAAAGCGCACAGCTGAAGCTCTATTCTGAGCGTGGGATGCACCTATGATGTCCATCGGGTCATGGTCATCATCGCTCGTTATCGTCCGCTGACGTTTCGAGTTCCGAGGGGTGCTAGGTTCTTCTGCTTTATTGTCACTTGACTCAGGAGAACCGCTTTGACGCTCAGTAGAACGTGCCCTTTTCAGTCGCCTTTCCAATTGTAGCGGATCCGTGATAGTGATATCCAGTTGCTGGCCATTGTGGCGAGCACTCCTGCGAGGCGCTGCCGCGCCGTTCTGAGCGTCCTCTGCGGCCCTGATCTTCTCTTTCGCCTTCTTGCGTTCCTCCCTTCTCTTCCGCTCCCGCTCAGCCATCCGTTGACACTCATGCTTAAACTGAGCATCGAAATCTTGGATGTTCACTTCGGCAGCAGTCAGCATAGCTTGTGCCCTATACAGCCTGTCACCAGTAGGATCCTGATGTGAGCGTGCCGCGGCGTTGAAAACAATCTTGTTGATGTCCTCAAGGAAATCTTGCGGAGTGAGGTACTTGCCCTTGTACAGGTCAACGTGCATCCTCTCGAGGTCCATGTCAAATAGTTGTGGTTCTTGTGGCTGTGGGGGTTCTGGATGTTCGATTGGTTGAGGATCAGGATGGACGCCATTAACGATGCCGTTTGGCTGCTCCTGGGTGGCCTGCTCACAGACGTCGATGACGTCGTTTTCGGCTTGTACGGTTATAGTAGTGGTGGCAATAATCTCCACTTCATTGACCACAGGAATCGGATCGAAGTCATACTCCTCCTAAAACAGGTAATCGGTGAGTGCGCAGCAGTTGCGGTAATCATGCTCACCCTGGCTTTCTTGGTAAATCGTTTGAACTTGCGTTTCAGCTCTGTTAGTATAGGGCCGAGACGATACTTCAGTAATGTGATGACACGCTGGTCATTCTCTTCCTGAACAGCAAGCTCAGCAGCCGTCGGTTGACGGGGCTCAAGAGGAGGCGCAATCGGTAGTTCCTCAAGAATTCGTTTTCGGCGTTTGATACCATCTGCGAACTGGTTCGGCGGTCGACGAATGTCAGCGATAATACTCGAGAAGAAGGCTTCGCGCTGAGCTTCAGTGGGAGTGGGTAGTGCGAGGCGATTCTCGCGGATCATACCGAACCATGAACGGACGTCACGGGGTAGTGAGGAAAATGGACCATCTACAATGGCAAGTACGAGGATAGGGTCTGTAGGCGCAAGCGAATCAAGCATGGATCTGACAGTGGATCGTGCAGTCTCGGAAACCGCTGCTGACCACCCATCGAGGGAAGGAAGGTAGATAACTGAGGGCTGATGTCTTTTAGCCTCGACAAATAGTTGAACTACAGCGGCTTCCACAGTCTGATAATACCATCAAGAGCACGAATTTACCAGGAGGATGAGGCAAGCTTACCCGGGTTGAGTCCCCCATAAGTGTCCCAAGATCGAGTGTTTGAACATGATATCCCTCCAAATGATGAAGTGCGGCGGCTCCTAAATAGCCTTGTCCCATACCAGCAGGCCCATGGAGCACCAATCGTGGTCGATAAACCCTTAAGGTCTCCATGGCTATGGGACAATCAGCGACTCCATCGACTAACAAGTGGCCAGTACTCACATTGGATGAACAGTTCCCTGTCAAGGGCATTCGCCTCACTATCCTCTTCCCACATAGCTTCTTCCAAAGCAGTGCGCTTCTTGCTAACAGGGAGAACCTTGTTGATAGCATCTTTTACCTTATCCAAGGTGTCGGAAAGCAAAGGAGCAAGCTGAATCGGGAGAGGTGAAGCAGATGAGGACGACGAGCGTGCAGATGACGGCACGAGCTCTAGAATTGGAACGTTAGTTACAACACTATCTGTATTACGACCAAACAAACGTACTTTTAATGGAAATCATGAAGTCTCTGAATGTTACGCCGATGGTTTCGGGCTTAAGGAGCAGTCGATCACTGGACTGGTATATCTGAGGATATCGCCGCTGAATAGCATTCAATGCCGCTTCGGTGCACAAAGCCTGTGAATGTGAGTATGATAACCAGGGCGCATAGTTGTAAAATCGCATACCCGAAGATCCGCACCACCATAGCCCTTGGTGAATTTTGCAAGTCCCTTGATATTCTCAGCACCTTCTCCATCCTTCCAGCCTTCCCAGTCCTTTGTCATGATTGTCAATATACGTTCACGGGCCTCGAGAGATGGAAGGGGAAAATAAAATTCCCTGTCGAATCGGCCAGGTCTTCGTAGAGCAGGGTCGATGGCATCTGGACGGTTGGTGGCACCTATGACAATCACCTGGCCACGTCCGTCCATACCGTCCATCAGCGCTAGAAGCGTTGAGACGATTGAAGCGTGGATTTGGTCCTGCTTCGATGACCGGACGGGTGCTAATCCATCAATTTCATCAAAGAAGATGATACTCGGTTGGCAATTGCGTGCTTCCTCGAACAGAAGACGAAGTTGACGTTCAGCCTCACCGACCCATTTTGACAGGCAGTCGGCACCCTTGCGCATGAAGAAGGCTAGTAGATTATGAGAGGTGATCTCCTGACGGAAAAGAGTGTAACTTACAGACTCCCTTGCCATTAGCCCGACAGCTCGCAGCCAGAGCACGGGCGAGGAGCGTCTTTCCTGTACCAGGGGGACCGTGGAATAGCACTCCACGAGGAGGCGTTAGATTGAATCGCTGGAAGACTTCTGGGTACAATAGTGGAAGGATTGTCATTTCCTTCAGAGAATGGATGTCTGCAGATAGGAGGTCAAGAACGTATGACAACAGAATGGAAGAACACGCACGATCGTCCAAGCCACCAACTTCATCGAAAGTGACATTGGTATTGACTCCCAATGGGTCTGCGTCAGCCAATGCTGCGAATAGATGAGTCCGAGATGATTTGCAGCCTACAATGGCATTCACCTGCATCGCCAATTTTACCCAGATTCGAAGGAGTGCCAGCAGCGGCAGCAAGGTCGCCTGGCAGTAGACCAGCGCCGCCCGCCGAAACAGGGCCTCCGGCACCAAAAACACCAGCACCTCCAAAAGGTTTACGGGGAGTTCGAGTTGGAAAATCAGAATCCTAGCATAGATGTGCGTTAGTTGACTATACATGTGGCAATATGATGACGCACTGAGTCATCGGCTGGGGCCATGCCCATCCACCTGCTCAATTCAGCACCAGAGGCACTCCACCCTGGTCCACGCCTTCGATTGCCGCCACCTCGCCCACCAGCCGGACGCGGTTTGGCTTGTTTCATCTCCTCCAACGCTGGTGGGATGGCATAGTTAATTGGGACACGTTGTCGTAGTGCATATGGTTGGCCATTCGACTGCATATCCTGAATATGCCCGGCTTCCTCATCCAAATCCACCTCGCCTTCGGCATCAAGATCGTTATCTGAGGATGTACGCGGTGCGTCATCAAGAGAGCCATCTGCATCAGCTGAGCCGTCTGATGGCTCGTCGATATAGCCATCGTCCATTTCAGCAGCGGCTTTACTTTGAGCACGCGTTAATCTTTTGGCAGGATTGTTACTAGGCTCGTAGCGCTTGGGTTGACGAGTGATACGTCCACTAGAAGTTGTAGGAGGAGGCGGGGGGTTCTTGTTCCTATTGCGAAGGACACGACGATTGCTTGTTATGTCGTCATTAATGGAACTGCGTTTGCTGGAAGAGCGCGTTTTTCGACGTGGTTGATCATCATCCTCATCATCACCATCCATCGCGTCAATATGAGAATTAACGAGTTCGACATCTTCATCATCTCGGAATATCTTGTTGACCTCATCATCACTCGACTCGCGATATTGGGCTAACTTGACTGTGCGACCTCTCTGGGACTTGACGAAGGTAGCAGGAGGAGGAGACTCTGGTGATTCCGCAGAGACTGGTGGATGGTCGTCCTCATCGATCACAGACTTCTCACTTTCGAAGTACTCTGAACTGGATTGGGAAAATGCGCGGTTTCTGGTTGAACGACGAGGACCATCGATACCTTGAGTCATTTGAGTTGGTGGTGCTGGAAGCTTAATAGTTGGAGGGATCTTAAATTTGAGTATCACTGGCGGTTGCGGTTCGTTGGACGATGGCAAGTGAGGTGGTTCAGATGATTCTGCTAAATGAAAGTCCTGCTGAGGAAGTGGTGAATCGGGATCTTGCATAGACCAAAGTCGCAGCACAAAATCGCGAAAAAGAGCGCGAGAGAAAGCGCAAGAGAGACTTCACGTCTACGACGACTCGTTGATTAATTCTTGAATTGTTTTTGGATGAAAATTGGATGAAACTAGCAGGGACGGTTGGCAGAAGCACTGACACCACCTTTGTTTGCAGGTGGCTATTGCCTGCTATTGATTGTTTGGCTTTATTTGTATCTGATGGCGCGTGGTGACCATGTTGCTCCGAAGTTAGTGTCCTCCCATTTCCCCCTCCCCTTCAACTAGCCAATCCTCCCCAAAGGATCAAGTTTCTCTACCTGAAAACCATAGATTCTTTGTTATCTCGGTAGTCTCAGAGATCCACGCAGAAATCCATGAAATTTGAGCAGAAAAAAAGGAAAAAATGAGGCTAGATGAGGACTTTTTGTTGAAGTGGTTGAGGAGACGTGGTGGAAGTTCCAAGGGAAGAAGTGCTCGGTTTTCTTCGTCGAATGTTGCTGCATCCACTCCAACTTGCTGCAGGGTCATGACGTAAACGTGTCTCGTGATCTTGTCACACATGTGACCGGGCTTACCTTTGATGCTGATCAAAGCAACCCAAAAAAGGAGCAGGTATTCATTTCCACACGAGCCTAGCTGTCGCTGTCAAGCAAGCCTTTCGAGGCGAGTTTACGGCAACAAGCCAGCCCATGATATTTAAAGCGATAGTCCGCAGAAGTACCCTCTATTTAATTTCTCCCATCTATCACGTATTCACGACCTGTACGACTTCAAGTTTTTTTTAACTTAATGAATCACACTTTTCCATACTCTGAAGATCGAGCTTCGTTATCTGAGCGAGAGATCCCCCAGTACGCGCTGTCATCTAACATCCGAACAAAGCCATTCCCATCTCATGGTGCGCCTTTGTTCTTTTAACCGCTCAAAAGTCCTCTAACTTATCCAAATTTATAGTCGCGAGATCTAGCAGTGATTCAGAGCTTACTAGCTCAGACAAGCTATCCGCACTCCCCGACTCTCCTTTGTCCCGTCCACGTGTCTTAAGCAGGATGGAACCTCAGACCATTCAGATTTCGCAATCGACTCCTTCCCTGGAAGGTTTCACGGGTCATCATAATACTTCCGCCTCTGACACGCCCCGGGCAATCGCTTCAGAGAGTTCCATTGGCAAGGGTAGTCCATTTCAACGCGTCTCTTTCGAGAGCGGCCCTTCTCGCATACCATCCCCTCCCAGTAATAAGTCTCGTTCAGGGATTAACGTGCAGCACCACCCCTTGCTTCGCGATAGCGGCGCTCCACCCTCGAGGTCACCGCTGATCGAGGCAACACTATCTCGGTTTCGCCGCCCAAGCGACCCCCCTCGACCATCCTCAGCTATGCGCGCAGAAGCTCAAACATCAACATCCAGGAAGGGTAGTTACGACTCGCCTTCCGCGTCACAATCTCGAGCTGCATCTCCCATGCGCATATTCGCGTGGCCCGGCTTTCGTCGTAGGGAAACGCGCGAAGAACCGTTCGTCCCTCAGAACCCCTTTCAGAGGCAAAACCCGTTCCGCAATTTTTCTATTGGTAGCCCTGAATTCCCCAATGGTGAAAGCCTTGATCCCACCTGCGAGGACACGCTCAAGCAATTTCTACCTCCTCCAATAACATGTAACCCCTTGAAGACTTCACGGAGATTCCTCCGTTCCTCTCGTTATTTTTTGATGGATACTCTTCCCCGACAAATATACCTGCACTTACTGCTTCGCCTTCCTTCTCTTTATTTTTCACGCATCGCTCGTATTTATCAAGATGCAGAGCTCAGTCGCCCGGATATTCAACGATTGATTGATGCCTGTGCCTCCCAAGTGCAGAACCCTTCCTCCAGCCCTATACCGCCAGGGGCTCACTACCACCCACAGCCTGCTCTTCCTTTAGCAGATGAATGGACCTCCAATAACGTCTCCCCAGCTCTTATCAGATTCAAGCATTCCTGGGAGGCGTTTATCGACTCTCTGCTCCGAGAGTGGAAGACCCTAAACCTCGTTTCCGCTTTATTGCTTTCGTAAGTCACTGCTGTTACTTGAAGTTCGGAAGTTGTTGAACGCTCCTTCACAGTGCCATATTATCTATGTTTCAGAACACAGAGATGTCTCAAGATCCTGTGGTCCGCACAGCAGCGCTACTTTCGCTGACGTCCGCATTGATGAGCTTATCTTTCGGCTGTATCTACATTGTCCGCTTTGGCACCATGAGAAGCATGTACAAAGCCACCCGTTGGGCTGAGGTACGTGGCGCACGAAACTGCCGTCCATTCACGCACGTTCACAGCAACTCCACAGGAAGCACGTAAAACAACAACATTCATTTGGTGGAACGTATGGGTTCTATTAGCAATGCCTGCAGTATGGCTTGCCTGGTTCGTCCCTCCCATTCCCATCACGCTCTCACACTCACCTGTGCCTCATAGGGCTATGTGTTTCTTCATAGTCGCCATTCTCTCCTTTGTGTGGCGCTCTGGTTCTTCATCAAACAACCCCAGCCCCGCACCGCTCTCCCCAACCGCTATATTGGGCCCGCGCATCGCTGTCACGACCCTGTTCATAGTCGGGCTGATCGACTTCGTGCTGATCGTCAACACGCTGCATAACTACGGACGTACAAGGGATGTAGAAGGTGAAATGGGGTTACTGAGCATGGATGAATCGTCGCAAGCACGCCGGCCTTCTGCTGGCCTTGACCGTGAGGACCGAGGGAGACGGGCAGGACATCTAACAAGAGGCAGAACGCGCTTCCCGGGAGAGAGGCGTGGGCGGCCTGATGGGCATCGTCCGCCTGAAGGTGGCGTGCTGTCAGCTGTCACGGGTCTCGGCCTTACAAACCTTGATGGTGTGCTGAATTCTAGTCCCCGTAGCTCTAACGAACTATCACGGGAGAAGGATAGGGACAGGGCTGTGGTGATTGCGGCCACCAATGATTGAATGCCATTGTATGCTCAATTTATTATTAGACTCTTACAATGATACCTCCGCTCTTTTATGATGATGATCCTTCCGCGAGCAGTTCGGCGGCAGTATAGACATTGCACTTACTCATCCACACTCTTTTGTGTACCATACGTGTAAGTAGATAGATTGTAAAGGAAGATGATTCAAATTATTATTGGATTGTCTAAGGCACGTTGGCAAACAAGTTACACTAGAAAGAGTGATACACCAAATCTGAGATCAAGTCAGGTAAGCTACAGACAGCGAGACAATCAATCAAAACCAAAGCAGTATCAGGAACAACGAGGTGGATGGGAAAACGTATGCAATAGCGAAGCAGTGCTAAAAAGATAGCCGATAAAGACCAGACAATATGCACGTATGTCATACGGCGTCTAGTGTGGAAAAAAAAAAGCGCAGGACACACGATGATTTAGAGTACAAAGCAGTGATGCGTCAGGAGAGCTTCTAAAGCGAACCACAGCATGAGCGCCGATTATGTAGACAAAAGATACTACTCACGTTACAATCATCTACAGGAACCTGATCTGCCGTCATAATTCGGCGGAGGAAGTTGGAAATGGGGGGGCTGAAGCTGACCTCCCATGTGTTTCGACCGGGAGGGATAATCGAAGGGTGTATAAGCCTTGGTGAGAAGCTCCGCTACGCCACATCCAATGAGATGGGTGGCGAGATCAAGGCCGGGTGGGAGAATTTCACTACAGTGCGGACAATTGAGCACTGTTTGTCCAGTCGATTGCATGGCACCGACAGGAGGAGGGATGAATCCACCTTCCTTCGTCGGTGGAGACGGCTGCGTGTACCCGCCACCGGACAAGGGAAGCGAGAAAGACGTATAGTGCGAAGGGGCCTGAGAATGTCCGCGCCTGTTGGTAGCGTTGGAGTTTGCAGGGGGAATAAAGTATGACATGATAATGCAAGATTGTTGAGGATGGAGGCTGGAGAAAATTGACGGACGAAATGGATCTTATATGAAAGATGTACGGCTGTGGCCAAGGATAAGCTTTGTTTTAACAATGCGGGGATCTTGAGATCGGGCTGCGGTGTCCAAGGATACCTACAAACACGAGGCTGCCAAACGACAGAACAAAGTGGATAGGGATACGCCACAATGCAACATACCAATAACACGAAAAGAGCAGACAAGTTGGGATTAACCCCGATGGGAGGACAGAACTCAACTTTATTCAAATTTGGACGTTGGAACGGGGCCATGTTAGCGATGCATCTCACTTCCACGATCGACTCTTCGATTAATAGATAACCGAGAGTCCTATTATATGTGAAAGTGCCGTTATTCCTATTATTTGAGGATAAACCCCACCTTGTACGCCCGCACCCGTAATAATTTGGCGAGATGAGTTGTCGGAATGGGCTATTGTGATGCCTGATCATCTGCAGGTCCGAGATAGGTCAGCGATGGGAGCATAATTGCCGACGCATACTAAAATTGCAAGAATCACGGTCAATCGAGCTCGCCCACTGGTAAAAGAAGCATGACTGATGACCCCAAAAGTATAATAAAGGGGATTCTTTTCAATAAATGCGTGACTCGGTTTGAATCATTTCCGTGGAAGTTAGTGTTGCGGGCGCCGCTGGCCTTGGAATGTTAGTTTATGTTTCTTGCCATGGGCGTAAAAGTATTCCAGACCAGGAGGAACCGGAAATAGGAAATAAGGCAAGAGCAATGGTACTGATGGTTGTGGCGGCGGTGACTACTGAACAAGTGATCAACCAAGCGGGTCACTTGGTCGTCGGGCAGTCGGGTATGCCGGTAGAGCGTCCTAGTACACCCTTTGCTGGTAACTTCGCGGTCGCAGATCCTCGTGAGTTTATTGGATGTATCCCTCCGATGTTAGGTAAAAGGACATGAAAAATGAACAAAAAATGAATGCGTTGCGGAGGTTCATTCATCTAATCCACCGATGGGCTCATGAAAATGATCGGGATGATCATTGGAACCATCGGACGGTGCCGATCCTCCGGCAAGGGCCGGCGGCACTTTGCGTAGCGACTTGCTTGGCAGCGCTTGACAAGCCTGATTGTATGCGCAACCAGGTTCTCCTCCCATAATTCGTCGGGGTGTTCAAACGTTCCAACCTGGTCCCTACGCATCATGAGTAATTCTCAGTCATACCTATAGCTCATCTTCTACAAGCCCCATTACTACATCGAATCACACCATTGCTATCGAATAGCCTGCGAGAACTCTCCTCTGTATCGTATCTTCGAATTGCCGAGGACCTCGTGAGCCTGTCGCTGATCGCCAATATTATTCCCCGCTTTCACACCTTCATGATGTAGTACAGTCGAACAAACTCTTGGAAGCCCTCTATTTGTATTCAGAAAACGTGTCACGAGCCACGATGTTGCAAAAACGGCGGGTATAGAAAATACTCTATTCCTTAGGGCATCGCGTGATAGAATCCGACCTGATCCGAGTTATCTCCCGTCGTGGACAGCACATTTACGGACTGCGTTCCGATTCCCGAAAGTCATCCTGAGTTCGTCAAGTGGACATGCACCCATGACCATCCATATAGCATCAAACTTGGAAGCCGAGGTTTCAAAATATCATTCCCCAACACACACAGTACTATGTCTCTTGACCAGGAGAAACGTCAGCCATCTAAGGTAGAAAACACTGATCATCACCATGAGCAGATCAAACAACAATTCGGTTTGGATCTGTCAGATATTGCTGCTCATGCTCCATCACTGCGCGGTAATAAGCTAACAGCTGCAGTGGCGTTTGTAGCAGGAACCGGTTTCACACTCTTTGGGTGCGTTGAGAAGTAACTATACTTGAAACCCTCATCATTTTGCGATTCAGATACGATCAAGGTGTCATGTCATCACTCCTTACGGGTAATCAGGTAAGTATTCTATCAAACCCTGTATCGAAATGACTATATCTCATTATACCAGTTTGAGGCTTCCTTCCCTGAAGTCATAGTGGAGACCAGTCACCCCGATCACGCCACTCTTCAGAGCTTCACAATCGCCATTTACGTATGTTTTTACCTTTGTACTTCATACCATGGTGCTCAAAACGTGCAGGAAGTAGGCTGTCTCTTTGGTGCCCTGTCCAATCTTTGGGTGGGAGATAAGCTCGGTCGTCGAAGGACGATTGTTTTAGGAGGCAGCATAATGATAGTCGGTAGCCGAGCCGTCTGTGGCCCGTTCAGAGCACTGGCTAAATTCATTACAGGGGCAATTCTACAAACTACTGCGTTTTCTTTTGCACACTTGATCTTTGCCCGTATCGTCACAGGCTACGGAAACGGCCTGATAGTGAGTGATGTGCCTACTCATATTCAAAGTCCTGCTGAAAACATTTGTAGACATCGACGGTGCCAGCATATCATGCGGAACTCTCCCCTTCCGCAAAGAGGGGCCGAATGTACGTTGTTAATAGCACTTTAATGACAAAACGCAGATTTTTCCTAGGATAATGATGGAGGGGACTTTGATCGTGGTTGGAGTGACTATTGCGTGAGTCTTCTTGGCATCAATCTTTTTGAAATTGACGGTTGGCTTGCAGCTATGTGTGTGGATCGTTATTTTATTGCTTCATTTTTTGTTGACCGCACGCTCTAGTTGGTTGATCTAGCACTGTATGTTTCAGTTTCATTATTCTTAATCTAGCTAATGACAACGATCAAATAAGATTTTTTGTAAATTGGTCATCTGCTCAGTGGAGAGTTCCAATAGCGCTGCAGTTGGCGTTTGAAATAATCATGGTGACATGCATCGGATTCGTGAGTTGCTTTTACTCTGCAAACTACGTATACTAATATATTCGATTTGGTACACTATGCATAGCTTCCTGAGTCGCCGAGGTGGTGAGTTCTTGTCATCCTCCATGATTTTCATCAAATGATCAGAAACCCAGGTTGGTAAAGCGTGGTCGCAATGCAGAAGCGATGGCCGTCATATCTGCAATGGAAGATAAACCTCTTTCCGATCCAGAAGTTCAGCGCACTTACTACGGCATTCGTGAGGCTGTTGCTGTCGAAGCATCTAGTCAAAGTTCACTACGTGAACTCACTACCGGGGGTCCAAGCCAAAACTTTAGACGAACAGTCATTGCTGTAGTATTTATGATGATGCAGCAGCTGACGGGCATCAATCTCGTTACCTTGTGGGTATTTCAGTCCCCTGATGCGGCCTGCTGTCATCTAAAAACGTATTGATATCAACAGTTATGCTGTATGTCACGCGGTCATATGGTTTGATGTGGCAACACTGAAATCGTACAGACTATTGTATTCCAGCGTCTTGGTCTCTCCGAGGTCAACGCACGGATTACCTCTGCAGCCAACGGCGCAGAATATGTTCTTGCTTCTATTGCTGCTTATTACATTATAGACTATGTTGGCAGGCGCCAACTTATGCTGATTGGAGCCATCGGTCAATCCATCGTGATGTTGCTCTTGGCTATCTTAGGATATATCAATAATACACCAGCGCAGATTGTGAGCGTAGTTCTGTTATTCGGCTTCAACACGTTCTTTGCTTTTGGCTGGCTTGGTCTGGCTTGGTTATACGTGAGTCAGCAACGGCTGTTTTGATCTTTTTTACAGATCTGATCTTTTCATTTCTGGTATCCCAGTGCGCTGAGATTGCCGGGCTCAGAACTCGAGCGCCGACAAATGCACTAAGCACGGGTTTGTCAATCTCTTGCGCCGAGATACGGAGACAAATTAACTTACCTATCTTTCCCAAGCGTCGAACTGGACATTCAACTTTGTTGTGGTGATGGTCGTTGGCCCAGCTTTCAACACTATCTCCTGGAGAACCTATCTTATCTTCGCGGCCCTGAACGCAATCATCGTTCCAGTTGTTTACTTTTTCTTCCCCGAAACTGGCGGCCGGTCTTTAGAAGGTAAGCTTTACATCGTCTTCTGTTCGGGACTGGCTCCTGGCTAATTTTATCCTGTAAGATCTCGACGTTGTGTTTGCGTTGGCATATATGACTGGCGAAGATCCTGTCAAGGTCTCACTTCGGAAAGATGTCCCGCTTGCTGGATCGCGAGAGGCGGACGAGATTCTTGGAGTCAGTACAGGCGTTCAATATCACTCTTCAGGAAAGCACCCCACGCCATCCTCTTCACCGGGAAAAGCTGGAACACGGGCGGCGTAGGTGTGACGATCGTTGAATTGAGGTCTAACAATGAGCTGTTTATGAATCAAGCATATTGGGGCGTGAGCGAGCTTCAGTTGTGAAACTGTGTGGTCGCAAATTGAATAAGCTAGGCTAGGGGGAAAGCAAGTACTTGCCCTTTTTTATGTATATTCTGCAAATATCGATACAAGAGATCTTTGTCATGATTGGACAATGTGGTCTTGACTTCTAACATGATGCACACCGGGTTAAGCTTACGGGCACGTGACTAGTGATTAGCGATAATAATTCAAGTGCTAAACTTACACGGGATGATGACAAAGCGAATTTCTAAAATTGGCTATCCGAACAGACGAAGAAGTTAGTAACACCTCAACCTTACATTATCATTGCCTAAATAGGCTGCCATACTACCCTGGGAATGCCAATCTAATTAGCTCAGTTTGCATCAATCCCTGACACTGCCAATAAATACCTGAATAATGCTGAATATCCTCCCTTGCTAACATAAGGCAGGAACTCCCCATGGGACACCGGTGCTACTGCCGCCTATTACCGAGTACAACGTACGCAAACATTCTATTTTTGGTAATACTGAGTCACAATGCGTCGGCAACATCCTTAAACCTTTGTGCTCATCGTTGTCCACGACGAGCTCGAGTATTCAATGTAAATTACATCTAAATGCACCGTTTTTTTGTGCGCCCTCAAATCATGGGAGTCCCACTCTACTAACAGTGCTTTTTCTTTACAGTCTATTACTTATGCATGTGTGACATGTACTACCGTCACTCGTTGATTGTCGACCCCACGTGTTGAACATGCACATTCCCACTCTTATACTGTCCCTCTGGAGTCTGTTCCTCCACCACTCTACTCAGTGCTCAATGCATGCATCCAAGCGACGGAAGGGTCTTTCTCGCAAAGTTCATGTCTCTGGCTTCAGCTATACTGGAGAACAACACAATGAAGTTTTATCCCAGGCAGCAGTGGCCCGCGAACGCACCGCAGGTCAAGAACGCTACCGTCTCAACATTACTGGTACCTTCTTTCTTTATCTGTCTTACTCTATGCTGATCTTCTTCTCAGGTCTTAGTCAAGATACCCTCAATGTCCTTGGTGAAATACGCACTGAACTGCCTCATGAAGACTTTATAGCCACGGACGCCATGGACCACGATGGGCAAAACGGAGACTGGGAACCCATACCTGAGTCTTGGAACAAGGACGAGACGATTGTGCATGCAATTCGCGACTTTGTTGATCACCGGTGAGTATTTTCTTTATGCTGGATACTGTAGTGTTGACACTGGCCAATAGCTGGAACTATCGAGTGTGCAAAGATACTAGGACTTGGCGAAGCCACCTTGATAGCTTGCATGCAAATTGGACGCCTATCCTTCCCCTTCTCGCCGATGCATTCCTGCACTGGAAGGCATCAAACTCAGCTCCCCCTCTGACTACACTGCTGTCAACTGAACACTGAACATGGCTTTACCATCGAAGTCGTCGACCTTTTCACTTTGGAATCACACACATTCATCCCACGTGAGGACGACATCTTGACATCTGTCGCACTCGTAAACGCTGGCTATGTTGGTCATGTCCCACATACTCCCTCACTTGTATTTTCTCTCCATACATTGGAACATTACTGACTTGTTCGTTCACGCAAACCTTCATTCAGTGTAGAGGCCTTTAGCAAAGTAATATGTGACTCATACAAGGTATGTAGTCCTTCATTTTTGTCACACTAATCTTAATGTCATTACAGGTACCTTACAGATGACATTATCGCACAATGTTAGCGGGCGCATTCGACATCTACTTAACTATGGTCCACTCCATCGAGAAAAAGGTCAATGTCACCCTTGGTCATGATACCCTGAACTGGCAGGGTCCTTAATGCCTGCCCTCCATGTGCCTATGCACTCGAGGATGAATCACCTCTCACATTCAATCGCATGTTCATCATTGATGGCGGGAATTCAGCAAAAAGGATGCTACAAGTAGGTGATCGTCAGCGTGGAGATATGAGGGAGTATGCCAACAGCGACTACATGCTTCCTCAGCCTTACGTCAATCAGTTCGCAAATGAAGTTTGGTTGCAACCAATGCCTGCGGACACTTCAGAGCCTGAGGATGTTGTTCCTGCTATTGGGAATGACGATGATGCTGACACCGAGGACTCATCACGACAAGTAATGTCTTCCGATTGCAGCAAGAACTGGAAGGCTGCCGCCGGTGAAGAGAAGAAACAGATGTGGAGTATTTTCGATGAGACTGGCCTCTTTGTTGCTGCCTGTCGTCATGGCCTCCTATTGTGGGTGACTGACATGGTGCGCAGTGGTGAACTGTAAGTATTTCATTTGTGATATATTATTTTTATTTACTATAATACCAACAGTGCAAAGTACCCTCTCGCCATCATTTCCAAAATTCTCGAGGTTCTTGGTGAGCACAATCTTGGGGCTTACGACATTGGCTGTGGATTCGCATTGACTATCAGCTCGAGTAGCCTTGGGGAAGCATTCAAGAAGCAAGGATGCCGTATGTGTGTGGACACATTCCATGGCTACACGCACAACTTCGCATGTCAAACAAAGAACCACCCTAACGGCATCCAGGGCGCAGGTCTTGAGGATTTCGGAACCATCGAACACTTCTTCAGCGTGTCAAATGCCATCGGCCCCATCATTTGCTATGCGAGTCCCTACCGTAGACATGTCTTCCTCAACTTATTCTTCAAACAATGGGATGAGGACAAGTACCTCAACCTCGCTACCATGATTTTTAACAACTATAAGCAGGCGCTCGGTATCTTGGCCTCGGAATCAATTGCACTTGATGAAGCGAAGAGGTCGCTTAGCATCAGTGATGATGATCTTGAGAGTTGGCATGCCGAAGAGGTTGACTATTTCGCAAATGTTGGCAAACAGTCCACATGGGATGTGCACGCTAAGGTGTATGTGGAGCTCCTTCAAAAATTGAGAGACACGGTGTCCTGCATGATGTGGGAATCATGCATGGACATGAATACTAGGTGACCCTCAAAAGATAAAGTCTGTTAGCTTAGTCCTCAGACTAGTCAACCCATACCTTGGTTTCAAACCATGGTCCATATTTCCAGTTTTCCCCAAGTTTCATGATCTGAATATGTTTTGACGGAAAAAGTCTAATGTGAGATGGGAATCACATCTAGACCTAGTTGATGTGAGAAGGGAAATGAAGGTTAAGGTATAGCCTTGCCTTTGGCTTATTCACTTTGGCTAGAGAAAACCATAGAGAAAAGTACAAAGCCTATAAAAAACCTATCCAAAAAGACCGTGTTTCAATTCCTGCCAACTGTCTTATTTTTTGCTACCTACTTTTCTCTAGTGTTTCTTTACTTTACTTTTTCATTAGGATGCTTTGACTCACCTGACACTTCATAAAATTGTACCCATAGGGTATGATGTCATTATGATGTCATAAGACTCCACAGATACTCCTGCAGGTATTCTGTTGAAAGATATTATGTCATCAAGCTCTAGATTATTCTACTCCACAATGACATCATCCATGATGTCATTTCCTTCTAGAATATTCTGCTCCACAATGACTCACTCTGACTCACTCATGGAAGGTTCTGGAATCTTTTGCTCCACAATGATGTCATTCTTGATGTCATTATGATGTCATTACTCCACATTCCAGAATGTTCTGCTCCACAATGATGTCATAGCTCCATCTTTCACTTGTATTTTATTCTTTTATTGGGTTTGACCCAATATTTTGATTGGTCCTCCTTATTTTTTATTGTTTGTGAACCTAGGTTACTTTCCCACACAAAATGTATATAAGGAGAGCCCATTCTCCCCCCAAAAAATATGATCTCCCATTTGTAGCAATCTGCCTCTCAGATATTTCACTTGCAAAGTTAGTCCCTTTGAAGTGAGACAAGTGCAGGGAAAAGAATTCCCTTGAGATTATAAGTTTCTTACCTTAGAAACTTATTAGTGCCATAGACCAAGCATTCTTGGTCATATATATTGTCTTTGAGACTCCTTTGTCTCATTGCTCTGTGCCCTTTGACTAAGCGATCTTAGTCATCTATCATATTGTTGAGACCACGTCTCACTAGTAGTCCCATAGACCAAGTGATCTTGGTCAAGTTATAGTCCCCTTTGTTCAAGCGATCTTGAACATATATCGTATATTTAAGATCATTGTCTCACAGTCAGGTGTCCATAGACCAAGCAATCTTGGTCATATTTCGTATATTTGTAGACCACGTCTCACTAGTTCCAGTATCCAAGTCCAGAGCCTAGAAGGAGATTTCCTAGGCAAATACATTCCAGAAACCGAATTACGTGTCTAGAAGCTTATTCCTAGACAAGAGATTTGAGTTTCAATAAAGAAAAGTAAAGCTCCGGCTAGGTTGATCTTGACAAAGATTAGTTTAGCGAGCCTCCCAAGAACTCACACGTTATCTACCACGAAATAGGAAAAGTCGTAGACCGTGTTAATTGAGGACTGGCAAGCAGTCTTATCCAAAGTGTAATTGTGGTGTCATTACATTTACACGACTTTATATAAGACCCTCGGTTATTAAGACAGCGCGTCTACAATGCAACGTGTTGATGACATGTTGAAGAAGCCTGGGTATTGATTTTTTCAGTTTGGAGTGCTGGTAGATGATGCTCGAGTCAAAGAAATCCTCGATGATGAATCATACATTCCGATACGTGTAAGGTAGTCCTAAGTACTCATTATGCAAATGACTGACAACTGGTTTTAGAACACTTTTTCAGAGCAATTTGAGAAACATGGCCTCAATATGTTCAAGCTATGGGTGGTCGATCAGCTTCACAAATTTGAGATAGGATCTTGGAAAGCTTTATTCACCCATCTCATGTGAATCATTCATGCTGTTGGGGGAACCACAATTCAAAACCTCAATGAGCGGTAAGATGTTTGATTTTGAGGTTTTATATTAGGTCTCAAAAAATTTATTTTAGGTACCAAGCAATGCCTACATTTGGGAGAGGGACCATTTGCCATAAAGAAACTTGCTGCCCACGACTTTGAGGATCTATTACAAGAAAGTAGTTCATTCAGCCTTACAAATTGCCTCACAGTTTGACCCAATTCTATAGTGCGCAATACCTGTATTCAAGGGCCTGCTGCCAAAGGAACACAATGTCATTGTGCTTGACATGCTGTTTGATATCTAGTTGATGCATTCTTGTGAGTTGAAACATACTGCCATCTCCGAGGACTTGACTTTATCGTCTACAGCGTTGTATATTTTTGTGGATACAGTCTCCGGTAGTGCGGATATATCGTTTACAGTGCTGCATACCTTGCTCGCATTCACTATTGTAATACTGTTGGTTCCCCGAGGCGAAATGCATCGATGCGAGGAGATATCCACGGAACAATCCATGGGTTGAATATTATCCTGTCCGATGAGCGCGAGGGACATGATGTAGTAGAATAACATGCGGAATGAGTGAGACATACCATAGGATTGATGGCTACTCTTGACTGATCATAGTGAAGTGCGAGACCACTAGTAGAGCTTGATGACATTTGAAGATTACTACATGAAACCATTGAGACATCGACTGCATCCAAAAGACTGCTGAAGATCCTCTTCAGACGCGTAGCCCTGAAATGCCCCACAAATATCATGTTCCTGACAGTTGGTTGTGTGATAGGAGCCCCAATCAACTTTTATCCCAAATGTATGTGAAACTACATATGCATACGGATGACACACTGGATTTTTTCGACACAGCTATCATTGTACTTAGTCAGTCTGTCCAAAAATTTGCGAAGACCACATGCAATCACTACCATACCACTGAATTCCCTCATGAACACGCAGCATGAGGACGACGTGAGGCAGCACTGACTGCTAAACAACCGCAGCTGCATACAAAGGGAAAGGAGAAGGCTGGTCCGAAATTCAAGCCTCTCAATCTTTCAACTTATAAGTTTCATGCACTCGGAGATTATGTTGATATGATCCGGTGCACTGGTACCATGGACAACTATAGTACACAGCCAGTAAGTATATTTTCACTTGAAGAGTTCTAATATCAAATTCATGTTTGTATTATTCGGGTGAGCTGGAATATAAATGAGCCAAGTGCTGGTATCCAAGAACACCCAAAAATCAGACTATGGTCGCTACTATGATGCACCTTGAAGCTCGAGAGTGTATCATTGGTAAGATCAATAAACAACAAGAGGAAATAGTACATCCCCCAATGCAACAGGTGCCACGTGAGCGCACATCTCCTGCCTTGCATTACCATATCTCAAAAGATGCAAAAAGCTTATATGATGGCTCAGCGAACTCACAGGAGATCCGGCAATTAAGGTAAGTTTAGATTATATTGCATGAATCATTCTATTAACATGGTGCTCAGGACTTCATACCGTGCCTCAAAGACCATCTTCTGGGCCAAATTCATGGCATTTATTATTCAGGGGACGAGCAGGAATTCTCCAATGATGACGGGAGCCAGATTGTTCTCGCTAACAACCAGCTTTTTGAACACAGTGTCCTATGGATCAACTACACCACTTACAACCTTCGGAGGGAACAAGACTCAATTAACCCACGCACTCATGCTGACATCATGATGTTGTCACACAAGGATGATGATGATCGTCATCCGTACTGGTACGCTCGGGTGGTGAAGATTTTCCATGTTAATGTTTGGTATTATGGTCCGAGTGGTAGCAATGCACAAACACCGACATGCATGGACATAGTTTTTGTGCACTGGTTCAGCCACGACACTCCTTTCAAAGCTGGTTGGTCAGCAAAATAACTCCATCGCATTGGTTTTTTCAAGTGTGACGATCTGGATAGCTTCGGCTTTGTTGATCCAAACCAAGTGATTTGTTCTGTCCATTTGATTCCGGGATTCGAACATGGGCACACTGACACCAGACTCGCCCCCTCGTTTGTACGTCCAGCAGAGGATCATGATCAAGATTTTTTGTATTTCTATGTTAATCAGTATGTGTTTTCTATCTAATTGGGATTGCTATAGACTGATTTAATGTAATAGTTTTGTGGATCGCAATATGTTTATGTGCTTCAGAGGAGGCGGTGTTGGTCACCAGGTCACATGAGACTGGGATGAATTCTTGCGGACTGACAGTGCTATTGCCATTGATGATGATGAAGACATGCAGTTTGATTTGGGAGAAGCAGTCGACAACGATGACAAGGTTGGAATCCAGGTTGGTGATGAGGATGATGAGGAGGTTGACAGGGAGGAGGATGGTGAAGAGGATAATGAGGAGGATGAAGAGGATAATGAGGACAGAGTTGATGATGGAGATCAAATTAGGGCTGACAAGGGAGAGGAGCTTGACAACAACATTCTCGCACAAGAGGGATATGGAGCTTTGTAATATCACATTTGAGACTCATACTTATCACACTTGATCATGCTTAGGACACATGCTAAGGGAATATCAGGTGCAGATGGGACTTATAGCAGTATATCATTTGAATTTAAGTATAGTGTACTGTAGAGATATGCACTTAGCTTCAACATCATCTGGGTGTGACCAATTGAACCTTAGCTTCGAATCAGCACCACTACCAGCTGCTGTCAGCAAGAGCTCACAGTTGATGGTGATGAAGAGAATTTTGGTCATGTAAAGCGAGATGCATGGCAAATACTCAGTACAAGAATTTTTGGGAATATTTTTGCATTTTTTTTCATGTTTTACCATGTGTCACAATTTACCTTTGATGACTTCAATTTTGTGCGATGGTCACATGAAATAGCTTTGATTTGTTGGACGTGTGATGCTGTGACGAAGCTAAGTGCATATCTCTACAGTATATATGAATCTGCGATGGCTCAATGAGCTTGTTTTGTTGACAGGCATTTGAAGTGGACTATATGCATTGCATAGAATATCAATTAGGCATCAACCTTAGCATAGTATATCAGGATGTTATCATAATGACAGAAGACATGGGAACAAGGCTAAGCTACTAAATACTTGACATCATGATGATCGAGCACTGGCATCATCGTCTCAGACCCCATAACCCATGACCCATAAAATCTCATGACCATCAGCCTAATAAGGTAATACCTGTTTTCTGGACTTTTGGTGATGCAGAGGGATCTGGGCATCGTAGTCCATGGGGTCATCTAGTTGGGGTGCATCACCAGATTTCTTCAAAGCCTTCTTCTGCTTCATTTGCTGTACGGCCATTTCCTGAACCTCTGCCACATTCGTAACTCTCAGTAGTGATTCACGGAGCATCTTGGGAATTGCAAGATGGATATGATTGTAGTTATGAATAGAGTAAGTGTTGATGAAGTAGTGTGGAGTTGCCTTGTGCTGAATGATACGTTTCATATGAGACGTCTCAAGCCGTTCTTGGCGCACAGGTTGCAGGAGGGTGTCTGTACACTGTGAATCAATGCAGTTGTGTTGGAGATTAATGACACATATGATATTCTATAGCGTGCAAGGATCAGAACATTACACACAATCATAGGATATTAACTTACCGCTGCCATTGTGACAACCTCATTGTCGGTCAGTTTCAGACAGGGTAGATGGACAGAAGCATGCAAAGTGTCTGCAAATGAAAAGAGCTGGAGAGCTGTCCCGAGTACCTTTAACAAACCATTATTCTTTCCTAAATCTTCCTAAGTGTCAATACACAGCGCCTAAGATAAACCCTAACCCTACTGTGAAAACATCTACCAATTCCGAAATCCCCTTAGTGCCCACAACACGTGTCTTCAATGTGACTGATGAAGAAGACGAGTTCTTTGATTGTGAATAGATTAGATAAGATAAGATATGGTCACGTGATGTTTCTTTAATATTCTACAATGTTCTATGGTACGATTCTCTTTTCTCCTTTATGATTGGCTAGTAGTTGTATCTCAGTTTCTATCTCAGTTTCAATAGTTGTATATAGGTGGCACGTCTTGGTCGATAGTTCCTTAGTTCAAACCTCTTGTATCTACATCATTGTAGCAATCCAAGATGTCCTTGCTCATTACCTCTGTTGTGATAACCTTAGTCTGAGTCCTAGTCTCTGCCCAGCATTAATTCGTTATTGGGTTGTGACAAGAGCAACATGGACAACAGTATCTGGATTCTCAGCTGATACAAGGATCTCACAAACACGTCCAACACATCTCTAACAATATCTCTGTGTTAATTGAGAGTCCTACTGTAATGAAATTACTCACCTGTCCATCTGTCACTCGATGAAAGATGACATGACTATTTGGATATGCAACATCCTCTCCTCTTACTACAACTGATTTACCTCGATAGTAGACAACACTGGGCTGCATGGTCTTGAGGATCCTCCAGCAATGAGTCTCTTTCCAGGCCACTGTATCACTTCTTGCCAGCTTTCCTTTAGCACCAAGGGAAGTTTGAGCTTTCCCGGAGCCTAAGTAAAAATAATTAGTAGCAATAGAGTGAACATAGTAGGTCAGGTTTACCAGGTATTGGAGTATTGCAATTAAAGACTGATAATCCCAGTAATTGTGCTTGCTCAGTGTAACAATGGTTGTGGCACTGGGCTCGGAACCAGGCAATCCAACACCTATGTCCATACCATTCCCTGACCTCCCTTGACCTTCTGCAGGCAGTTCTTGTGTTCCAAGGCCCATCCGAACCTCGCGAGTTACCATACCATGTCCTATCCTCGTCCTTTTGACTTTGCTGGTGCGTTTTCCCTTATTCTAATTATATTTTGACTATGTCTTAGTGCTACACAGATAGAATTCCATCGGCATCCTGTCGGGAGCCTCAGAATACATATAAACAGTATGCATCGCAGCTTATTACATGTATACTTGCATTTCTGCTTGCCTCACGGCTTATTACATAGGTTCGGACTTGCTTATCTTGCTACTAGTTTCGCCTATGGATTCCGGTCTCTCATGGAAGTAGGATATAATCTCGCTTGCTGGCTACTGATACTTCACTTCACTTCCCGTACTTTGAGTAGTAATTAGTAGAGTCACCTCGGTATAATTGTAACTGTGCAATGATCTTTGTTCATTCAGAACGATTGTTTGGCTAGACCACTGCCAATTCTGCACTTCATTTATTCTTGAGTTCCGATAGATTAGCGTTGTTCTGGACTTCAGACATTTTGCAAAGTCTTATACTGTTATTCGGCACATCAACATACCGACATATATTGACCTTCAGACAGCTTTCGCAAATCTTGGAAGGCATCGTGCTACTTCAAACAACACTTTCGCAGCTTCGGACGACTTTCGGTCGCATCGGACAAGTACCTCGGTACTTCAGATGTAGTCTCAGAACTCCTGATGGACATTAGAGAGATTTACTTCCAATATCTTGTCTACTCTCTGACTGTATAAGACTTCCCTTGCATTATCAAGGTAGTTCTTTAGGTTGTCTCTTGGGACGAAGCATACTCGCATCTCTCAGGACTAGGGACTCACATTCTGTAGAGTCCAGCCCAGATCTACTCTTTACATCGGGGTGTTCATCAAGATATCCTAGAACTTGTGCTCCTCCACAGACCCATTTTAAGGCATTGTTATCATACCAATACCCACCAGTAACAATATGCTTGACAATATCTTGATGAGCAAATACTCTACAACTATCACGGCTCAGTGCTTGGTGATTGCTGTATACACATGACAAACAAAATACATGATTGAAGGACTTGTATTGCTCTGTTGAAAATATCACTGCTGGTCCAAAATGCCAAATATACACTGGGAGATGGACCAAGAAATGAAATTTGGGCTTGCTTATGATGATGCTAGGTGCGCACTGTGCCGTGATATTAAGAAAATCTTGAATTGTTTGAGATGACTTTGCCTAGAGAAGGATGAGAATTGAAGTCATTGTATATTTCTACATAAACTTACAAGATAAGGTTCTGTATTCACAATATTTGTGTGCCAGATGAGGACGACAAGTTCTCCTATGACAGTCCATGCATTGAGAACAGTTAAAGGGGTGAGGTCATAAATTAAAAATGGCATCACTTGTGCCAAACTTTTGAAATGTTTTCTGATCAAACTGCCTTTGTAGTGGCAGATATAGTCTGCGTTCAGGCAAGGAGCATTGAGTCCATCCTTATCAATAGACTCAAGACGGACCTGAAATATGTCCATGAACTTCGCCTTATCAAGCAGAAACACAGTCTGCCCCCAGAAATATTTGACAATGCCAAGTAGAATTGTATGGAGAATCTCTGTTGGAGTGTCCATGTGTATATCCAGGCCTGCTAAGAATGTGAACGAAAATTAAAAACCGCTAGAGTACTAAACTAACCTTCCATCCCTAATAATGGGTTAATAGCACCATCGAGCTTGTCGCCTTGCAAATGTTCTATGAACTCCTTCTCAAGGACAACTGTAACTTCAGCTTCAGGCATGGCTTGGGTGCCAGCCACATGCTTTCGGAGTTTCTTCCCAAGATCCACTAACGCACTGAGAATTGAACCAGAAGCAGAATCACAAACACCAGTCGATGACACTGAGTTCTTGATCTTCTCTGATGCTCCTGACTTCAATGCGGTCTCAAACTGTTGTCAGATCTCTGCTGTAGTATTTTTGGGGGTCCATAGATTGCCTGACTACAAGCATAACATTAGCTATTAGAACATAGTTCAAATGTATCCTACCATAAAAAGGCTGTTGTACCCATCGCCAGATGCCTTATATTCTTTTGTCCCGCTGATATCGCAAGTCCTACAAAAATAATTGCAGTTTAAGCCAGTGTGGCTACATTCATCTGCCTGCATGGGATTATCTTCATTGAGGAAAAGTGCATATGGAATCAACAAAACCTCTTTGTTGTATTTACAATCCCAGGCAATGATACCTAATTCAGCAGTGTTACTAAAGACTGAATCAACTTCGCCTTCAACAGATTGAGGAACCAATGTACCATATAGATTCTTTCATGGCACGCATAAGTTCCATGGGAGTGGCATGTGGCGAAGATGTGACAAACCGCACAAAAAATTCCTTCTCCAGCATCTCACATGGTAGGCTGGCATTTGACATATAGATCGCATGGCATTTGTTCCATTGTTTCGATATGTTGCCAGAAACATCATCCATAAAAACAAGGAGGGGAACCATATGGACCATCCGGCCGTTAGACTTCACACACAGTGAATTTGGAGACAGCGACACATATTTAGTCAATGAAGCTGTTGTTTTGTGTGAGTAGTGAGTTGCTGATGCAATGACTGCATATCGATGCACATATAAGGCCACAGTCAAGCTCGCCTGGAGTTGCAGCAATCTCTTCGAATGATCGCATGAACATGGATGTCAGAATGATCTCGCATTGCTCATTAACGATGAATCCAGCCTATATATGAGGACTTTGTATACCTGGATAGATTTGTAATTAGAAGACGTACCTCCATTCGTTCAACTGCTCGACCAAGTGCATATAGGACCTTACCATCTGACTGCTTGCAGGGGCCAGAGTCACTGTCACTCGAATCTTCAGGCAGTGATGCATAAAAAAAGCACTCCGGTACAAAATATCCTCCAGAATTGTCCTGTAACAGTTCACCCGTGAAATAGATCATTTCATCCACATGAGCTGCAGGTGGCAAAGGCAGATCAAGCAACATCTCCTTGCTGTTGAATACTTGTGACATCCACTCCCCACTATCTTCTGGATAGTCCTGCATTGCAAACTGCGTCAGTGGATTTGCATAGTCCTAAAGCATGATGTCACAGTTGCAGTCATATAAAAACATGATGGACACACCTTTGCGATTGATTTAGCAACATCATTGATATAAAATATACTCCTGGAACAAGCTGTCACCTTCTCTGTCGGATCGCCAACAAGACTCTCCAGATATCTATCAGACTTCTTCATAGCACCAAGTGAGGGGACATCACGAGCGCCAAGCTCTTGTGCCCAACTGAGGACCACCTTCTTCTGGGCTTGAGAGAATGGGAGACGTGGAGAGCTGAAAAGGAGAGAGGTCACAAAATGCTTAATGTAAATTTAAATAATGCAATCTTAATACTAGCACAAAGAGAAACAAACCGCTTTCAATGGCCAAGGATATGCTGGATTGTCCAGCGAAACAGTGTCTTCGATGTTTATTCTTTTGTAGATATCATCTAGTAGTGTGATCAAGTATAAAGCCTGCAAAATCACAAAGTTACTCACCAGGGAGCTCTATTCCAAAATCAGGTGCGCTATCATCACAAAGTTCTTCCTTGTCGTTGATCAGGGCAAGCGGCATTGAGAAGGGTACTTCTCCCGAAGCGATAATTGTCTTGAGCTCTGCAAACAATTCTAAAGCACCCTCGTCGAACCCAAATGTGTGGTTACCGATGGTCTTGCTCAAAAGCTCAGATAATCCAGGCTCAGATTCAGAGTGCTCATTATCTGCCACTGATGCAGGTGGTGTGGATGGTAGCACATCAGTAAGTAGTGCATCACAGAAATCTGTGTCCATTGGAAAGACGCTGGTATCAGCACCAATGAAATGATTAGTATGGGCCTGAACGACTTTTTGATGCTGCTTGAGACATTTTCTTTGGGCGTAACGACCATGAATTCCTTGTGTGATGTGTTTTGATATATGTTGTAACTCCATCAGATGATATTTGCCATACTTGAGAGGGCACACGGTGCATTGAATGCAATTTTGAGTATTATCAGAATATTAAGGACTGCGGTACCAAGTCAGTAGCTAGAATAGTACTGAGATGAAATAAAATGCGCCAATACCGTCAACCAAGTCCCTGTTGTTCAGCATCGTGCCAATTTGATATTCGCTATAGAGCCTTGTGACTGGATGACTTGATCCCTTTGAAAGTTGCACCAGTGGTGTGGCCACATGAGCTTTCAGCTTTCAAATCAACAAGTCTGAAGTCCCACGATGCAATGTCATCAATCACTCCATTAACCCTCTCCATTATGACCAACAAAGTCACGCACTTTTTGACCATTATCAATCCAGGGTATTAGTCTGACACTAGAATAACATTGTGAGTGCTTGTTGTTGCCGTCAACATGCTTGCTCATTGTTATGCAAAATAGCCTGTCCATATTTCAGTTTCAATTGCTGAAGAATATGGGCCATTTACCTCCCTAGCTATGAAGGCCATGTCAGTAGACCTGTGCTCTACTCATCCAAATTCACCGTCAATGGATGATGTGAGTTCTAATTTTTATTGAATATTTTGGACCTTACCTTGCGCAGTCAACTCCTAGTCAAGCCAATGACAATCTTTCTTTCCAAGAGGATTCCATTATTCCATTTCTTCCACTTCAAGCCACCTTCAACTATGTCAATCAGATGGAATGGGCCACACTATCAAAGGCAATTGAAAAATGGTTGGTGACCAAAGTAGACATCAGGTCTCGATTATGGACATGGGGATGTGATGCTTTTTGGCTTGCATTCATCACAGCACACCCTCAATTTCCCAGAGGAAAATGGCGGATGTGGGACCCACACATTCCTGTGGAGGGGGCATTTATTAAAGAGTGGTTGGGACGGTCAAGTGACATTGATCCCCTAAAATTAGGGGGTGATTGTTCTCTTCTGGCTTTACTCAGTGACATATGGGCTGAATTCAACAGACATACTGCACTCTTTTACCCTTTCCCTCTCATTGATGTCAATTAACTCCAGGACACTTCTGTTTGTGCGCTAACATGTCTTTGTTGACTAGATATTAGTCTGGATTGTGTGTATACTACTTACTGTGCCAATGATACCATTGAGATGCTTCCCATCACCTGAGATTATGATCTAGATAGTCTGTCTGTTCATGCTTTCATGGATGCAGTGGTTGCAGTGTACGCGCACAAATGTAAGGAATTGACAATAATACAGGTGGCTTAGATATTTGCACCAGCTGGGTCACAGGTCTATCACAGTGACTGGTCTTGATATATCTGACATATGTGTAGTGCTGCCGTGGTCCAGTTCGGTCCAGTTCAGAGGGTCTTCAACAAGAACCGACCGCAAGCAAACCAGACCGGACCATTGAGAACGGTTCTCAATGGTCTGGTTCGGTTTTTTTGCGGTCTGAACTTGAACCGAACAGAAAATTTTTCTGTAGGGACAGCAAAAAAAATTGATGAAATACTAGTCTACACATTGAGTAACTACTCTAATAACATTTGTGCGTACTCCTCTGCCTCTGTAGCTGCTGAAAGATGTCCATTACAGTAAGCGGCCTTCATGAAAATGATCAGCCGTGTGAACTCACTCCCAGGGGACTGGATTGGGGAGCAGCCGCCAAAAATGCAAATAAAGGGCAAGTCTATTTTGCGGTGTCGGCAACAGTTGTGGTAGGGGAAGGTGCAGCAGTAGGCTTTGGGATCGTGCTTGCAGGCTTCTTGCCAAAGTCAAACTTCAGTGGTGCAGGTGTGGATGGGGCAGAAGTTGGGGCAGCATTGCTTGAAGTGGTACTAAATATTGATGGTGGGTTAGCTTGTGTCGATGTAGATGTTGGCGTCAAGGAAGGTAGTACACTGGGTTGGTTTTGCGAAGGGGAATGGTGCTGGTTTGCCAGTTTCTGTGCTTGATGCTGCTGGTGCAGAGAAGGGATTGGTGGATGTGGAAGTAGGTGCAGCAAACAGCGGCTGTGCGGGCATGGGACCAAAAGAAAATGAAGGAGCTGCAGGTGCAGGCGTTGACGGTGCAATTGGCTTAGCGAAAAAGTCCGGTATGGAGGGTGTAGATGACGTGGTAGGTGCGGTGGTGGTGGTTATTTGTGGAGTAGATGGGTGGGAATAGGCTGGGTTTATTGGCAACAGGAGCTGAGGGTACCTGAAGTGTAAGGTTAGTATCAAGTCAAAAACTTCAAAACAATTTAAATGAGACAGTCGATAGGAAGATGGCTTTCGCCAGTGACAAAAAGGATGCACACACATAATTATAGAGCCTGACTCAAATGAGATTTTTTTTAAAAAAAAATTAAATTCAGATGCACATACCTGTAATTTGTGGGTGGACAACGGCAAGATGGAGCTGAGTGATGGTTCAGTCTGGATGATTGGTGGGACACAAATCAAAGGTGCCTTGAAAAAGAGAGATAGAAAGTCATGTGAGAAATTGATTGATTAGTACTTACCTTGAAAAGGCTGAAGGTAGCCTGATTAACCAATAGTGCAAATCCCGAAGACAGCAGTTTGATGTGGAGACCGACTTTGTCGCAGTCGCAGTCGAAGTTGAAGTCGATAATGGTTTGGAATGGTTTGGCAAGGCCGAACCAGAATGGGACCGTTCGGGAAGACCTAGAACTGAGAACCATTTTCCAGTCCGGTTCTGGCTGATGTGAGAACCGTGGACCGAACCGCAGAGAACCGGACCAAAAGTCCGGTTCGAACCATGGTTCTGGACCGGACCACGGCAGCACTACATATGTGCCACACAGGGTATGTACTGGCCCCCATTTGGACAGATTTTTGGCTGTAACCAAGTCACCAGCCAGGATTGGAATAAAACCTTTCATAGACACCATATATGTACCCTATGTAGGTTAAATTTATTATTTGTGTAGCAAGGCCGTAATCGAACTAGTATATATTGTGTTACTGTAGAGATACGCACTTACCTTCGACGTCATCCAGGTGTGACCAAACGTGTCTTAGCTTCGAAGATTCGAAGATGGGTGTGACCTGTGACACCTCAGAAATAGCTTCGTTTCCACCGTGACTGAGCCACTGTCAGTGCCTGCAGCAACAGGCTCTCATTTTCTTGATGATCCTCAAGGAGCACTTTGTATTCAGCTATCTGGCGACATGTCAAGCTTCAGGCTTCTCTGTGTACACATGTACTGTCATACTATCAACACAGATCCTCCAATGTTTGGTAAGAAATAAGTCAGCTCTCAGGATGATTAACTCTGAAACCCGCAAAGCCCTTCTGTACCATGGCCAGTTTGCACCTCCTATGTGTTCCTTCGAAGTTTCAGGCTATTGTTCCTTCCCGCACTCTCTCAGTGACTCAACTGCTCATCTTCAAGTTCCCCGTGAGTCTCGAAACCAATCCATCATGCACCAGTATTGTTCTTTCTCAAGAGCCCCCCAAGGTCCAGCTCCCTGCAGACTTCATTTTGCAGTCAGGTTCCTGCATTTTCAACAGCCATGGCACTCTGTGATCATGCTACCAGTGCATGGCAAGATGGAGATCAATCAATCATGCATCCATCATTCCCCGATGATCCACTTCCTTTGTGGGTCTTATCATTCTGGGTGTCCATGTCTCATGCACTTGAGCATCAACGCGATTGGCGTGCATCACACACCTGGATCTTAGACTGACTGGACACTGTTTCAGGTGACTGTGATGAGTTGGAAACCATCGACAACATTTTAGATGTGATAGAGCGTCTTCCATGGGATGTTCCGCTCAAGGGAGTTGGCACTCAGACTGACCTATCTACTAGTGGGCTACGGCTGCTGTTGGCATCAGGCCCAATTGGTGGTCGCCTCATGGATACTATGATTGCTGTGGTAGTCGAACGCATGCAAGCATCTCAAAATGCAGACCTTCGGACCATCTGTGTCGAATCCCTTGTCCTTATGGATGCACTTCATCTTGGCGAGAAGCAGGTGGGCAAACTATGAGACTGAGAAGGCGTTCACTTGCCTTTGTGCCATAGGCTTGGCGTTATGTGAAAGGAAGACTTCAGCGTGTCCTCTTTCCTGTCAATATTTGCGACATCCATTGGGCTGCTATTGAGGTCAATGTGATCAACCGAACCATCTCATACGCAGATTCTCTTGGGTGGGATTGGCCCTCTCATGACATTGACACCATTCATCATTGGCTGGGCCACCACGGCCTCTCTGGATTTAGTAACACAAGTGCACTACAGTGTGGTCAACAGCTGGATTCGTTTTTGTGCGGAATTGCAGCCATCAATACTATTAAGCATGCCGTGTTTCGTGATCCCTTGTTCAACAATAACGAAGCATTCTCCCTCCGCATGGAAGAGTTTTTGGATCTTGCTTATGATCATCTTGAGGTATGCGCATCTCGTGCTAACTGATGTATCGTTGTTGATTGAATATTGATTTTTTAGCACTCGGTTCCTGGCGACAGCACAGATGTGGATGATGGCAGTGACTTCGAGCCAGAAGAGACTCCGTCAGATACAGAGAGCGAACACGAGACTCAGCCATCTATCTCCACCCCTGCCATCATCCACGCAAACTAACAAAACAAAACTTCAACCTCTGTTCAACTGACGCAGACCAAAACAAAGGTCTGTTCAGGTTCTTCCCAAAAGTATCACGCGAGGAGCATCTACAACGTGCTTGGAAGCCTTTCACTTGGGAGCTCAAAGATCAGGAGCGGGACCATTATCAGCAAGAATTTAATAAGTTTGAGAAGGCTACTCGCAAGCGTGAAAGAGCCGCTGAGCGAAAGAGAAAACAGCGAGCACGTGAAAAACAGTGAAAAAGCTGCTATGGAGGTGAGCATGTGTCTTTGCGCTCTGGGTCATCCTAATGGTTAATGTGTTCTGTTGTCAGAAACCCACCATTGATTCCATTCTTCATGATAGCAATCCTCAGCCACCAGCTGTCACTATCGCAGAGGCATCACATCCATATCGTCAACTACAAAGGCAAGCTTGTAGCAAGCGCACACACAATCTAGGCCGGAAGCGCAAGCGGGGGGACACAGATGCTTTGCATGTCAATTGGCAGAGCCCCCTGCTATGGCCGACCATTGAAATGGCTGCTCTCTGTGTTGGCTATGGGATGTCACCAGTGCAGATTGAGCGCGAGCTTAAACGAATTGACCCCACTTGTTTTGCTGGTATCCATGCTCAAGTTATAGGAAGCTGGATAGACCATAGTGGGACACAACCAGCATGGCATGTGAATGTGCTTGCCCGTGTTCGAAAGGGCAATCTTCCATTAACAAAGGCAACACCGCCTGGTATTCTCTCGAAGTATCCTAATGTTGTCAAGACCATTGTGGAAGACCTGCGCACTCTGCGCACTGTTGGTGTAGCTTTAGACACCATGCGTTGTTGTGGTGTAATCATTGCCTGCCTCACTGTCTCTTGCCCTGAGGTCTTTGAGGCTGTTGTGAAGGACGGCTCACACTTTCAATGCACAGAGTCTTGGGTAAAGAAGTTCGTAGCCGCAAATCTCAATTGGTCATTTTGTCGCGCAACTCGTGCCGCACAGAAAACCCCTTCCAACGCCGATCAACTTTGTCTGGACCAATTCCTTCGTTTAACTTTGACCATTTGCAACTGCGCAATTTTTCATGATTGTTTCTACGTCAACATTGATCAGACAAATATCGTGTATCAACCCGCAAACACGGCTACATACAAAGAAGTCGGTTCCAAGCAAGTTGCAGTCATTGGACAGGAGAAGCAAGCATTCACTGTCGTGGTTGGCATATCTGCCTCCGGTGATGCTCTCCCATTTCAGGTCATCTACTGCGGCAAAACTACATGCTCCCTCCCCATGAAAAACACGCCACAATTCAAGGAAGCACATCGCTTAGGCTTCAAGCTGTGTTTTTCAAACACCGACACGTACTGGTCAACATTTGAGCTCATGTGTGACTATATTCATGATATCCTCATTCCTTACTGGACAAGACAGAAGGAGCTCATTGGTGCACCCGATGATCAAGAATGTATCTTACACCTGGATGTTTGGTCAGTCCACAAGTCCATCCAGTTTCGCACTTGGCTTGATCAACATTACCCATGGATCAAGTATCGCTTTGTCCCTGGCGGTTGCACTGGGATTGCCCAACCATGTGATGTTGGTGTCCAGCGCCCACTCAAGCTTGCTGTCAAACGATCTCAGCATGCCGACATCATTGATGAGTCTTTGTCATTGCTGAAGAAAAATGATGCCACTGCCGCCGTCATTCGACTTGACACAATGTTGCCCACACTGCGTGATAGATCGTTGCACTGGCTTATCAATGGCTATCACGCCATTAACAAGCCAAACATTGTTAAACAAGTAAGTATGCCATCCTTGTATCCCTCACCAATGGCACTGACACATTCAGGCATTTTTTCAATGCAAGGCTGGCACTTCATTCAACCTCTCCTTTGAGAGTCTTACCAGCCGCGAAGTGCTTCAAATGCTGCATGATGTAGAGAAGAACAACGTCGAGACATGGGACCGAATCAAGACAGCTCAATACAAGGTTGAAAAACCTCAATCCGAGTCGGCACTAGACGAGGTTGAGCCACCATTTGCGCAAGCTGCAGACATTGAGCTTGATCCTTGTGATATTCCTGTTGATGTGGTTCTACTTCACATCACATCAGGGGGGTCAGTCCCTCGAGGCTATGGTACTGATGATTCTGGCAACCTGCTGGCATGCAACAAGGCAGAAGGATATGATCAAGAGCTTGCAGCTTCTGCCACCGAGGGTGACAAAGAAAACTTTGGTCATGGGAAGCGTAGATGCATGGAAAATACACAATACAGAAATTTTTGGAAACATTGACCTTAGTTTATGCGTTTTTTTCATGTTTTACCGTATGTCACAATTTACCTTCGACGCATTCAACTTTGTGTGACAGTCACACGAAATAGCTTTGATTCGAAGGACGTGTGACGCTGTGACGAAGGTAAGTGCGAATCTCTACAGTACTATGTGTTTTATATAACTTTCGCACTACCTCTGTTCGGGCCAAAGCGGCACTTGGCCTTGTAGTGATTAGCGATAATACATAATTCAAGTGCTAAACTTACACGGGATGATGACAAAGCGAATTTTAAAATTGGCTATCCGAACAGACTCAAGAAGGAGGCTTGAAGAAGTTAGTACATGTAAGTTATTATGCGTTTAATGCGTTATGCATGCATTTTACCTGCGTCCCACGATGGGACCACCCAAATTCGATGCATTATGAACAAGTGTACTGTATCGACTTGGCAATGCAGAACCAGGTTCTTCTCGCAGGATTCGTCGAGGAATTTAAACCTGGTCCCTACGCATCATGAATACTTCTCTGTTATACCCGCTGATCTAGCTCATCTCCGTCAAGCCTCATTACATCGCAAATCACACCATTGCTATCAAATAGCCTGCGAGAACTCTCCTCTATATCGTATCTTCGACTCGGAATTGCCGAGGATCTTGTGAGCTTCTCGCTGATCGCCAATATTATTCCCCGCTTTCACGCCTTCATGATGTAGTACAGATTCAAGCCTTCTATTGTATTCGGAAAACGTGTCACGAGCCACAATGTTGAACAGCGGGTATAGAAAATACTTCTATTCCTCGGGCAGTGCACTGATCTGGGTGTATATAGAATCCGACCTGGTCCGAGTCATGGGCTTTATCACCCGTCGTGGGCACAGCAGACATAATTCACATTTTCGAACTGCGTCCCGGTTCCCGAAAGTTATCCTGAGTTCGTCAAGTGGACATGCACCCATGACCATTCATATAGCATCAAACTTGGAAGCCGAGGTTTTAAAATCTCATCCCCCCAACACACACAGTACTATGTCTCTTGACCAGGAGAAACATCAGCTATCTGAGGTAGAAAACACTGATCATCACCATGAGCAGATCAAACAACAATTCGGCTTGGATCTGTCAGATATCGCTGCTCATGCTCCATCGCTGCGTGGTAATAAGCTAACAGCTGCAGTAGCGTTTGTAGCAGGAACCGGGTTCACACTCGCTGGGTGCGTTGAGAAGTAACTATAATCAAAATCCTCATCATTCTGCGATTCAGATACGATCAAGGTGTCATGTCATCGCTCCTTACGGGTAATCAGGTAAGTGTTCTATCAAGCCTTGTATCGAAATGACTATATCTCATTGTACCAGTTTGAGGCTTCCTTCCCTGAAGTCATAGTGGAGACCAGTCACCCCGATCACGCCACTCTTCAGAGCCTCACAATCGCCATTTACGTATGTTGTTACCTTTGTACTTCATGTTTGGTGCTCATAACGCGCAGGAAGTAGGCAGTCTTTTTGGTGCCCTGTCCAATCTTTGGGTGGGAGATAAGCTCGGTCGTCGAAAGACCATTGTTCTAGGAGGCAGCATAATGATAGTCGGTAGCCGAGCCGTCTGTGGCCCGTTCAGAGCACTGGCTAAATTCATTACAGGGGCAATTCTACAAACTACTGCGTTTTCTTTTGCACACTTGATCTTTGCCCGTATCGTCACAGGCTACGGAAACGGCCTGATAGTGAGTGATGTGCCTACTCATATTCAAAATCCTGCTGAAAACATATCTGTAGACATCAACGGTACCAATATATCATGCGGAACTCTCCCCTTCGGCAAAGAGGGGACGAATGTACGTTGTTAATGACACTATAATGAAGAAATACAGACGTCCCCTAGGATAATGATGGCGGGGATTTTTTTCATGGTTGGAGTGACTATTTCGTGAGTCTTCTTGGCATCAATCTTTTTGATATTGACGGTTGGCTTGCAGCCTTGTGTGTGGATCGTTATTTTATTGCTTCATTGTTGTTGACAACATTCTCTAGTTGGTTGATCTAGCATTGTATGTTTCAGTTTTATTTTTGATCTAGCTAATGACAACGATCAAATCAGATTTTTCGTAAATTGGTCATCTGCTCAGTGGAGAGTTCCAATAGCGCTGCAGTTGGCGTTTGAAATAATCATGGTGACATGCATCGGATTCGTGAGTTTCTTTCTCTGCAAACTATGCGTGCTAATTATTCGATTTGGTACACTATGCATAGCTTCCCGAGTCGCCGAGGTGGTGAGTTCTCGTCATCCTCCAAAATTTTCATGAAATGATCAGAAACCCAGGTTGGTAAAGCGTGGCCGCGATGCAGAAGCGATGGCCGTTATATCCGCAATGGAAGATAAACCTTTTTCCGATCCAGAAGTTCAGCGCACTTACTACGGCATTCGTAAGGCTGTTGCTGTCGAAGAATCTAGTCAAAGTTCACTACGTGAACTCACTACTGGAGGTCCTAGCCAAAACTTGAGACGGATGGTCATTCCTGTAGTATTGATGATGATGCAGCAGCTGACAGGTATCGGTTTCGTTACCTTGTGGGTATTTCAGTCCCCTGATGTGCAGCCTACTGTAATCCAAAACGTATTGATATCAACAGTTATGCTGTATGTCACGCGATCATATGGTCTGCTGTGGCAATACTGAGATCGTACAGACTATTCTATTCCAGCGTCTTGGTCTCTCCGCAACCAACGCACGGATTACCTCTGCAGCCAACGGCGCACAAAATATTCTTGCTTCTATTGCTGCTTATTATGTTATAGACTATGTTGGCAGGCGTCAACTTATGCTGATTGGAGCCATCAGTCAATCCATCGTGATGCTGCTCTTGGCTATCTTAGGATATATCAATAATACACCAGCGCAGATTGTGAGCGTAGTCCTGATATTCGGCTTCGACACATTCTTTGCTTTTGGCTGGCTTGGACTGGCTTTGTTATACGTGAGTCAGCACCGGCTGCTTTGATCTTTTTCACAGATCTGATCTTGTCATTTCTGGTATCCCAGAACGCTGAGATTGCCGGGCTTAGAACTCGAGTGCCAACAAATGCGCTAAGCACGGGTTTGTCACGCCGAGATGCGGAGACAAATTTACTTACCTTTCCCAAGCGTCGACCTGGACATTCAACTTTGTTGTGGTGATGGCCGTTGGCCCAGTTTTCAACACTATCTCCTGGAGAATCTATCTCATCTTCGCGGCCCTGAACGCAATCATCGTTCCAGTTGTTTACTTTTTCTTCCCCGAAACTGGCGGCCGGTCTTTAGAAGGTAAGCTTCACATGGTGTTCTGTTGGCTCCTGGCTAATTTTATCCTGGAAGACCTCGACGTTGTGTTTGCGTTGGCGTACATGACTGGTGAAGATCCTGTCAAGGTCTCACTTCGGAAAGATGTCCCGCTTGCTGGATCGCGAGAGGCGGACGAGATTCTTGGAGTCAGCACAGGCGTTCAATATCACCCTTCAGGAAAGCACCCCACGCCATCTTCTTCACCGGGAAAAGCCGGAACACAGGCGTAGGATCGTTGAATTGAGGTCTAACAGTGAGCTGCTTATGAATCAAGCATATTCGGGCGTGAGCGAGCTAAACTCGTGAAACCGTGTGGTCGCAAATTGAACAAGCTAGGCTAGGGGAAAGCAAGCACTTGCCCTTTTTTATGTATATTTTGTAAATATCGATACAAGAGATCTTCGTCGGGAAATTCGTTGTGTTCAGAGTCGGGACCATGGCCATGGATATACCTCGACGTTGACTGATAAAACCGTCGTAGATCAATCGATTAATTTTGGTGGGGCTGCCCTCAAAACCAGTTCGGGGACCGAACTCCAGATCTACGGCTCTGGTGATGATACCGTTGCACCTATGTAAAAGCAACTCACTACGCAGACAAGACCGAGAAAGTGCTAGTATGCAGCTGTGCCATGCTATCAGATCCAGGACAATTACGAAAGCTCTGCTTCCATGCTAGCCGTTTAACTCCTCAGCCAAGTTGCTACAGAAATGCAAAATGATTCTAGGTCGATCATCTGAAACGGTTGCTGATGTACTGACCTTACTTGCACGGCTGTGACCATCTCCAGTTCCACAGTGTCATTAGGGACGTTCAAAGTTGGGCGCCCACGCCCACCGCCCACGCCCATGACCCCTTCGCCCACGCGTCGTCACCTAAAATGTAGTTTGCATAATTAGATAATACAAAGTAATTCTGAAAATTTATTGGTTTGTTACCTTCACTCACCATCAATCAGATCTGCGCATATGGCGAAGAAGAAGGATAACGGCGTCACAATCCCGGAGATTGTCTGGACTGATGACTTGGTCTGGCAGCTATTGGTGCAGATTGAACTATCGGAGAACAGAGTCGTGCTTCTAGGCAAACGGAAGAAGGGCGAGGTAAGTGAGTCAAAGTTGTCATATATGATACGAGATATGATGTTTCTGTGTCAGAACACGTCAGGTGATAGCAAAGTGACGGTGTATCAGCGCATGGTGGCTGCCGTTTTCCCGCAATTGCACAGCCAGAATGCTGTCGCAATGGGGGACCGAGTCAAACGAAAGTATGAGTAGTGAGTGCTGTGCTTTTCTCACTATTTTTCAGCTTACAATTCTGCTCAGCTTAACAAAAAAATACAAGGTGCATGCTCGACGTCTCCGAACAACTGGTGAAGGGGTCCAATCTGATGCGAATGGCAATGTCTCCGACAATGAATTTTTCGAATGCTATGTCCCTGCTGATGGACCCAACACAACCACAACTCCGAAAGCACAGTGTATTTGGGGTATGTTACTTATTTTCCGCCAGAATAATTCTAACATGACACAGATGAGATTGTTGAGCAATTCAAATTCTTTCCTGTTCTTCATTGAATCTTATCCTCTCGTCCGAATGTCACTCCAATAGCCATCACCACTGGTATCGGCCCGCATGGCAGGAAGACTGTGCACTACCAGCCTCCAAGTGATGACGAAGGGCCAGAACTTGCATCGGAGAATTTTTCACAGATCCAGAGCCTCCACACAGCCCTTCAGAACGAGGCTGCACACCGTGGAATCTCCCCATCTTTTGAGTCTCCTTTCGATACTATTGTAGATCCTTCTGACTATTCTCAACCTCTTTATGATGTCGACGACAAGGAGAATGATCCTCCCCCATCTTCGCAGTCAACCCCTACCCCAACAACTAAGCGAGCCCCGAAATCTTCGTCAATGTTACAAGACAGTCTCACCAAAGCGAGACAACGGATCTCCAAGGTGCCAAAGAAGCGTACCCTTGACGAGACACTCATTGACATGCAGAAGTACATTTTATTTATTTATATTTCAATTAACCTTACTCATATATATAAGGGCCAGTTTAGATGCTATTAATGCTCGTGCTACAGCAGAGAGGCAGCTTCAAGAACGCCAATTGCTGCTCAAAGAGTTCGAGGCTGGTATTTGGAATGTTGACGAGTATCGTGAAAAGCTCCATGAATTGATGCATGACAAGGCTGAGCCTGTGAAGCGTGCTCGTTACTCTCCAGATTGGCCAGGTTGGGATTAGGTACAAACTGTCATCGAATATAATAGGGACGTTCAAAGTTGGGCGCCCACGCCCACCGCCCACGCCCACGCCCACGACCCCCCTCGCCCATATACCACTACCCATTTTGTACTTGAACGAATGTATTATATAATCAATGATAACTTAACACTGTCCGAAACCACATTACACTCAATGGCACGTCTCCGAACATCACACGAGCAATACCTTCACTCATATCTCTTGCTTATGGTTCTTCGTACTTTGTGTCAGCCAGATATGACACTCGAAGAGGCAGCAGTACAGCAGCATTGCGACTTATCTTGCATTCTTGCTATTCAACAAACTCGTTATCTACAAGAGCGCTCCCCTGTTGCAAAAGCCAGCACCCTGCACATTGCTTGGGAATATGCAAAATCTCCATCTGATCATAATCGCTTTATTCACATGCTCCGTGTTTCTCCAATGACGTTTCAAGTCCTGCTCAATCTAATTGAAGGTCATCCGGTTTTTTCCAATAATTCCAACAATGCACAGGCGCCTGTTCAGACTCAGCTTGCTGTCACTCTCTATCGAATGGGTAGATATGGCAATGGTGCCTCGGTACTGGACATTGCTCGCCTTGCAGGAATTTCTGAGGGTGCAGTAGAGTTGTTCACGCAACGATGCTTCCGTGCAATTCAATCTCTGCATGACACTTTTGTATGCTTACCAACTGCTGAAGAAAAGGAGGTTGAGAAATCATGGATAGATGACCGGCTCAAATTCCAAGGAACTTGGAGGGAAGGTTGGGTGATGTATGACGGAACAATTGTTGTTCTGCATACTAAGCCAGGCCTCAATGGAGATGCGTATTACACACGAAAGTCAAACTATGGACTGAATCTACAGGTACTATATCACACAGTTTTTTTAAATAATATTGAAGTGCTGTTACAAGAACATCTAGACGCTTGGGCCCCTACTATTTTCCTCCTGATCCTCCTCGTATCAGCCCTCGCATCATACCCTTACCCCGACCTTACCCTTGTCATCCTCGTCATCCTCGCATTCCCTTTCGCCCTCTACCTGTCGCTTCAGCAAAGCCAGTACATTTGGCCGGATCCTTTCGCTGACGAAGCATACCCATGCTCCGTTTCACCACCTGACTGATCCTGCGGACAGTCCCCTTGCCCTTACCATCTGGATGGTAACCTATGACACGATGCATGACGCATCCCCTTTGCCCTATTTTTCCTTTCTTGATCTCTGACTCGGTGCGCAGTCGCACATGCGACTTATACTTAGATCCGCAGTTGCACGATCGTGCCCCTGCGTGTTTCACTTCTCATTCTGATCTTTGACTCACTTTCTTATCCAGCACGTTCTACCTAGATCGAACGTGTCTTCCTATTATGGTCTTACCCTTCACCGATTGCCTCTCCCGGTAGTACGAGTTATCATCCACTAATACGTCTCCTGTCCTCTATATAAACTCGCTACCATGTACCATATTCCCTAACTTGAATCTACTTGGTTCTTGACCTCCTACTCTCACCAGAGTGATCCTTCTGCCTCGCCAGCAGTCTATATTCTATCTTCTTATCTGCTCATCGCGGATAAGCCTATAGTCTCGACCTTTACTCATCGACTTCGTCGATGAGCAAAGCCCCTGTTAACTAGTCGGACTTCTGTCCTTCTAATTAACGACGATCCTTACGATTAACCTTCGGGTGTCGTAAGCCTAGGCCGATATAGCTTATCGTCTCGCACCCGCGTGACATAAGCTACCCGATTTGGACATAGGCGTTAAATCATACTTGCCGAAGACACGCCAAGTACGACCCCTAACCTTGGGCTAGCCCAAGGACGTCCACAGACCGTTGACGACACAAGCTCTGTTTGAGCGTCGCCAACAGATACCATCCAAGTCGTAACAAGTGCTTTGACAGGTTGGAAATTTGCCGTCCAATCTTCGTATTGTGGACTATGCGCATGGCCTGACTGGTTCTGCCCATGATGCCTCTGCCTTTGAGCATACTGCAGCTTCAAAACATGCAGATTGGTTTTTTAAAGGCAATGAGTTTGCCTGGGTAGACTCTGCATATCCAGTCAGTAGTCATACCATTCCAGTCCACAAGCGTCCTGCTTCTCTCATCCCCGAGAATGCTCTATTTGATAGTGCAGTAGCCCATCTCCGAGTACGTTCTGAGCATTGCATGGGAGCTCTGAAAGGGCACTGGCAATGCTTGCGGGGGCTTCGGGTGACCATTACATCAAAGCGCCATCATTGGGCAGCATGCGACTGGATTACGGTGGCCATTATCCTGCATAACCTTGTGATAGATGTTGAAGGAGGAGTACAAGGGGCACACTTTGCTGGGATCCACACTCACACTGATGAACAAGAAGATAGAGGATTGCCTGATATCCTTCCAGGTCAAGTGATTGGGAATAATGGAGAACTGAAGCGACAACAGCTTGTAGAAGAGTTGATGGCATTTCGACAAATGTAACAGAAGTATTTGTTGAACTACTATTAACAAGTATATATAATAGAAAGGTGTTAAGGAGTGACTAGAAGTTAACCATAAGGCAAAAAAAATTATCAAGAGGCGAAGGCAGAAATTATACCGAGACTCGTCAAAGAAATACCCTAATCCCAATCTGGCCAATCTGGAGAGTAACGAGCACGCTTCACAGGCTCAGCCTTGTCATGCATCAATTCATGGAGCTTTTCACGATACTCGTCAACATTCCAAATACCAGCCTCGAACTCTTTGAGCAGCAATTGGCGTTCTTGAAGCTGCCTCTCTGCTGTAGCACGAGCATTAATAGCATCTAAACTGGCCCTTATATATATGAGTAAGGTTAATTGAAATATAAATAAATAAAATGTACTTCTGCATGTCAATGAGTGTCTCGTCAAGGGTACGCTTCTTTGGCACCTTGGAGATCCGTTGTCTCGCTTTGGTGAGACTGTCTTGTAACATTGACGAAGATTTCGGGGCTCGCTTA